TAAAAGCTATTTACAACAAACCAACAGCCAATATCATATGGAATGGGCAAAAACTGGAAGCATTCCCTTTGAAATCTGGTACTAGACAAGGACGCCCTCTCTCACCACTCCTATTCAATATAGTACTGGAAGTTCTAGCCAGAGCAATCAGGCAAGAAAAAGAAATAAAGGGTATCCAAATTGGAAAGGAGGAAATCAAATTGTCTCTATTTGCAGATGACATGATTGTATATCTAGAAGACCCCATCATCTCAGCCCAAAATCTCCTGAAACTGATAAACAACTTCAGCAAAGTCTCAGGATACAAAATCAGTGTGCAAAAATCACAAGCATTCCTATACACCAGTAACAGACTTAAAGAGAGCCAAATCAAGAACGAACTGCCATTCACAATTGCTACAAAGAGAATAAAATACCTAGGAATACAACTAACAAGGAACGTAAAGGACCTCTTCAAGGAGAACTACAAGCCATTGCTCAACGAAATAAGAGAGGACACAAACAGATGAAGAAACATTCCATGTTCATGGTTAGGAAGAATCAACGTCGTGAAAATGGCCATACTGCCCAAAGTAATTTACAGATTCAACGCTATTCCCCTCAAGCTACCAATGACCTTCTTCACAGAAATGGAAAAAAACACCTTAAATTTCATATGGAACCAGAAGAGAGCCCGCATAGCCAAGTCAATTCTAAGCAAAAAGAACAAAGCAGGAGGCATCACACTACCGGACTTCAAACTATACTACAAGGCTACAGTAATCAAAACAGCATGGTACTGGTACCAAAACAGAGATACAGACCAATGGAACAGAACAGAGGCCTCAGAGGAAATACAACATACCCACAACCATCTGATCTTCGACAAACCTGAAAAAAACAAGCAATGGGGAAAGGACTCCCTGTTTAATAAATGGTGTTGGGAAAACTGGCTAGCCATGCGCAGAAAGCAGAAACAGGACCCCTTCCTGACACCTTACACCAAAATTAACTCCAGATGGATTAAAGACTTAAACATCAGACCTAACACCATAAAAACCCTAGAAGAAAATCTAGGCAAAAACATTCAGGACATAGGCGTAGGCAAGGACTTCATGACCAAAATACCAAAAGCATTGGCAACAAAAGCCAAAATAGACAAATGGGACCTAATCAAACTCCACAGCTTCTGCACGGCAAAAGAAACAGTCAGTAGAGTGAATCGGCAACCAACAGAATGGGAAAAAATTTTTGCAGTCTACCCATCTGACAAGGGGCTGATATCCAGAATTTACAAAGAACTAAAACAGATCTACAAGAAAAAAAACAAGCCCATTCAAAAATGGGCGAAGGATATGAAGAGATACTTTACAAAAGAAGACATACAGGAGGCCAACAAACATATGAAAAAATGCTCATCATCACTGGTCATTAGAGAAATGCAAATCAAAACCACATTGTGATACCATCTCACACCAGTTAGAATGGCAATCATTAAAAAATCTGGAGACAACAGATGCTGGAGAGGATGTGGGGAAATAGGAACACTTTTACACTGTTGGTGGGAATGTAAATTAATTCAACCATTGTGGAAGACAGTGTGGAGATTCCTCAAGGACCTAAAAATAGAAATCCCATTTGACCCAGCAATCCCATTACTGGGTATATATCCAAAGGATTATAAATCATTCTACTATAAGGACACGTGCACACGCATGTTCACTGCAGCACTGTTTACAATAGCAAAGACCTGGAACCAACCCAAATGCCCAACGATGATAGACTGGATAGGGAAAATGTGGTACATATACACCATGGAATATTATGCAGCCATCAAAAACGATGAGTTCAGGTCCTTTTTAGGGACATGGATGAACCTGGAAACCATCATTCTCAGCAAACTGACACAAGAGCAGAAAATCAAACACCGTATATTCTCACTCATAGGCGGGTGTTGAACAATGAGAACACATGGACACAGGGAGGGGAGCACTACACACTGGGGTCCGTTGGGGGTAAACTGGGGAGGGACGGGGGGTGGGGAGGTGGGAAGAGATAACATGGGGAGAAATGACAGATACAGGTGAGGAGACGGAAGGCAGCAAACCACACTGCCATGTGTGTACCTATGCAACAATCTTGGATGTTCTTCACATGTACCCCAAAACCTAAAATGCAATTAAAAAAAAAAAAAAAAAAAAAAAGAATACTAATCCTTCTCAAACTCTTCCAAAAAACTGAAGAATACCCTCGAAGTCATTTTACAAGGCCAGAATTAATCTAACAGCCAGAAAAGGACATTACAAGAAAAGTTACCTCCCAATATCCCTGATAAACAGATGCAAACTAGCACATTAAAAGAACAGTACACCATGATCCAGTGGACTTTATCCCTGGATGCAAGGATGGCTCAACACATTCATATCAGTGTACTACATCGTATTAACAGAATGAAGGACAAAACATCTCAATACAGAAAAGGCATTCGACATCCTTTCAGGATAAAAACTCTCAATAAATTAGCTATAGATGGAATGTACCTCAATATACTAAAGGTCATATATCACAAGCTCACAGCTAACATCACATAAGCAATGAAAAGTTGAAAGCTTTTCCTCTTAGATCAGGAACAAGACAAGGGTGCTAACTCTCATCATTTCTACTCTACATAGTTCTGGAATTCCTCACCAGAGCAATTAGGAAGAAAAAAAGAAATAAAGGCATTCAAATTGAAAGGAAAAAGTTAGACTGTCTGCAAATGACATGAACTAAACCCTAAAAACTCCACCAAAATAACTATCAGAAAAAACAAAATTAGAAAAGGTGCAGAATACAAAATCAACATAAAAAGTCAGTAGAATTTCTATACAGGAACAACAAACTACAAACTAAAAACAGAAATCAAGACGAGAAGCCATTTACAATAGCATTAAAAAAAAAAAAAAAAAAAAAAAAAAAAACTTATGAATAAATTTAACCAAGGAGGTGAAAGATCCATACACTGAAAACTAGAAAACACTGATGAAAGCAGCTGAACAATGTCCACATAAATGGAAGGATACCCAGTGTTCGTGGCTTGGAAGATTTTATATTGTTAAAAAGTCCATACTACCCAAAGCAATCTACAAATGCAACGTAATCCCTTTCAAAATTCCAAAGGCATTTTTCACAAAAGTATACAAAAAGAGTCCTAATATCCTATGGAACCATAAAAGATTACAAATAGCCAAAGCAATCTAGACAAAAAGAGTAAAGCTGAAGGTCATAACACTCCTACTGGCATTAAAACAGACATAGCAACCAATGGAACAAAACATATAAAATAAAACCAGGCATTTAGAGTCAACTGGTCTCTGACAAACATGCCAAGAACAAACAATGGGGCAAGGGCAGTGTCTTCGATAAATGATGTTGGGAAAAATGAATATCCACAAACAGAAGAATAAAATTGGAGCCTTATCTCACACCACATGGAAAAATCAACTCAAAATGAATTAAAAACTTAAAATAAGGGACCTCAAACTGTAAAACTGTAACGAAAAAAATGAGAAAAAAGCTTGACATTGGTCTGGGCCAATAATGTTGTGGCTATGATCCCAATAGCAATGGCAATAAAATAATTTTAAAAAGTGACGTCAAACTGAAAAGTTTCTGCATAGCACAAAGTAGGGAAAGAAAACCAAGCAACCTACTGATTGAAAAAAAATATCTGCATATACAACAAGGAATACATATCCAAAATACATAAATAACTCAATAGCAAGAAAACAAATACTCGAATAGATATTTCTGAAAAGACGTAAAAATGAAGAACAGACATATGAAAAAATGCTCACTCATCATGACTATCCATCAGGGAAATGCACCTCACATCTGTCAGAATGATTACTATAAAAATACAACTACCATTTGCAGCCATCTCACTTCTGAGTGTATATCCAAAGGAACTGAAATCCGTATGTCAAAGAGAAATCTGTACTCCCATATTCATGGCAGCATTATTCATAGCCAAGATACAGAATCAACCTAAGTATCCATCAGTGGATGAATAAAGAAAATGTGGTATATATACACATGGAATACCATTCAGCCTTTTAAAAAAGGAAATCCTGACATTTGCAACATGAATGAACCTGGAGGACATTATGCTAAGAGAAATTAGCTAGGCAAGAAAGAAAAATAGTGCAAGATCTCACTTACATATATAATCTACAAAAGCTGACTTCAGAGCAGAGAGTAGAATGGTGGTTGCCAGAGGCTGAGAGATGGGAGAAATGGGAAATGTTGGTAAAGGGTCAAAGTTTCAAGATGAGTAAGTTCTGCAGACCTATTGGACGGCATGACGACTATAGCTAATGTATACTTAAAAACTGCTAGGAGAGATCTAAATGCTCTCATCACAGTAAGCTGATAAGTATGTGAGGTGACAGATATGCTAGCTTGATTTAGTCATTTTGCAATGTCTACCTATATCAAAATATCACATTGTACACTGTAAATAACTGCAATTGTTATTTGTCAGTTATACCTTAATAAAGCTAACAGGAAAGGAAAAGGCCAAATTGATCACTTATACTGGCAAAAATACAAACAAGTTGCTTCTCTCTCCCAACTTCTAGTAACACAAGGAGAAACCATATGTCTTCTAGAAAATTGCTAATTAGTACCTAAATTAGAATCCAATTAAGGGATAAGTAATGCCTACTTTGCCAAAAATATTAACCTTCACTAAGCCACATTTTTAAAAACTTAAGTCTATAGATCGTGCTTACTTAAAATCACTATACTTTATAGTTCAGCTGTGGAAATGACTACACGAATGTAAGACTGGCTTACCTATTCTGTTTATATAAAGCAAAATTCCAAATATTAAAAATAACTTCAATTATCCACATGGTCAAGTATATTTCAGTAGGCAGAATGTCATTAATGATAGCAATCTTAAATGCTGACAGACTTCTAACTTTTCTCTTTATTTTGCCTTCAAATCATGCCAATAATTTAAATGAAATATACCGTACCTGTTTGATGGGTTCTGCAATTAAACACCCAACTACTCTCTTTTCATCAGATATAAAAAGAAAAGTTTTTATTTTGTTTGGACATTTAGGAACAACTTGCTGGAAGCCCAATTCATTATCAACAAGTTCTTGGACATCTTCTACCTAATGATTTTAAAAACCAAGATAGGTCAATGTTTTAAAAAGTACAATAGAAACTATACATATTTATATACACAAAATATATTACTGTTACTTTATCCTTAAATTTTTATTTCTTAAATTTATACACCTCCAAAATTATTTCACTAATGATGCATGTAGCTGCTACTGTGGAAACAAGGTTTTAAGAACCTATTTTTTTTTTTTAATTATTATTTTTTTGAGACGGGGTTTCGCTCTCGTTACCCAGGCTGGAGTGCAATGGCGCAATCTCGGCTCACCGCAACCTCTGCCTCCTGGGTTCAGGCAATTCTCCTGCCTCAGCCTCCTGAGTAACTGGGATTACAGGCACACGCCACCATGCCCAGCTACTTTTTTGTATTTTTAGTAGAGACGGGGTTTCACCATGTTGACCAGGATGGTCTCGATCTCTTGACCTCGTGATCCACCCGCCTCGGCCTCCCAAAGTGCTGGGATTACAGGCTTGAGCCACCGTGCCCGGCCAAGAACCTATTTTAAAGATCACTTTTAGCATAAATTCAAACACCTAGGAGGATAAAGAATAGGAAGCGTTAAAACAGATTTGTTTTAGCTTTACTCACTGTTCATAGTGGCTCAACATCCAACCTCAGAAACATAGGCCACAATACTATAAGAAATAGACCCTGGGGGCCATTAATTTCTCAACACTGAAAAGCTTAGTTTACCTTTCACAAGGGAAAGATGAACATATGAACATAAAAGATATGCTGTGGAGCCCTATCTGCCTTCTTTAATCCTTTTCCTACAATTCTAAGTTTAGTTTTGTATAAATTTCTATGCAAGTAATCATTAAGCAGGAGCCCAAGCAAATTATCTGTCAGCAAAGGCAGTTCGCACTTCAACACAGGTTAATTTCTTGGGGGTGGGGAAATACAAGAATTAAAAAGACAATGTTCCATACCTTTTTGATAGCAAAGCTTGGATCACGTGGCAGAACCAACACGATTTTCCCATCCCAAAACTCTGCTACTACACGTTCTTTCTTCCAACCCTGCCAAAAGAAAACAAAAAGGTCATAGTTTAATTTGTGAAGAGAAAAAAAAACCAACCTTAAATAATTTGGTGTGGAGAAGACTAAAGCCTAAACAGTAACAGATATAAAAGAAGGTAAGATGAAATCCACTAAAAGTAATGTGGAAAGAGAAATAAAAGATGCCTAAGGCAAGGTACTCGCCCTCAATAAGCTGATACTCTATCTGGAGACATGTACATGCTCTATTATAAAATGAGGTAAAGGGGCTGGGTTCACGCCAGTAATCCCAGCACTTTGGGAGGCCAAAGTGGGCAGATCCACTTGAGGTTGGGAGATCGAGACCAGCAGGCAGGTAGGGAAGGTTTAGAATAAGAAGCCAAATTCCAAGAAAAAGCTAAATAAAAGTCCTTATATGCCTGTCCCTTATGCTTGACAAGACCACAGATGGGTTCAGTGTTACAACTACTTTAATTCCAATCCCAAGCAAGGTGCCTGGGCATGTGGCCCTAGTGTTTGAATGATACTGAAATATTATGGGACTTGAAAAGGGTTTAAAAACCTTGGTAAAATGTCAATGAGTATAATAGGAAGGTGATTACCTGCCTTCAGGCTAAGGCAACTAACTGAATAAGCACAAGTGCAGACAGTGGCAAAAAATCTGACTTAAAGATTAGAGGAAATGAGATTGGAGTATTAGAAATAAATTTAACAAGATCCATGACAAAACTATAAAATATTACTGAAGGATATAAAAGATATGACTCAGATGGAATATTAGAAATAAATTTAACAAGATCCATGACAGTTTGACTACAGTTTCAATAAAAATTCTAATAAGTTTTTTATTTGGGGGGAACTTGATAAGCTCATTTTTTTTTTTTTATTTGAAAGAGTAAATGTGCATAAGAAGTCAAGACATTTTTTACAGGAAAGGATGAAAGAGAACTTACCTAACTAGACATCGAAATACAGTATGAAGCTACATTTGTAAAAGTGTGGCACTGGCACAGGAACAGATGGATGATTGGAAGTGTTCAATAACAAACCCATTTATATGAGAGAACTTGGTATACACTAAAGGTTGCATTGCTAATCAGTGTGGAACATGAACTAGTCAAACAGTACTGTTGGCACACTTTGCAGTCCCTTAGGAAAAATAGAAAGATCCATCTCTAACACTATGTCTTGAAAACTTTCCAATGGATTAAAGATCTAAATATAAAATTTATAGCTATAAAACTGTTTTTTTAAATATAGGAAAAACTTTTTACTAATTTTGGAAATGAGATGATGTTCCTGACTTAAACCCAGAGGTCACAAGTTACCTAAATATTTGGTTTTCTTTGTAGCAATATACACCATAAAAAGGTTAAAAAAAAATCCAAGTAATACTATTTGCTTGTATAGGCAGAAAATATCTCTGAAAGATATATAGATGAACTCATTAATGACAGATACCTGCAGAGAGGGGCTAATGGGGTTTCTGGAAGGGATATGGAGAAACACTTTACTGGATACACTTTTATATCCTGTGAATTTTGAAACACGTGAAAGTATTACTATATCAAAAACATAAATTTAAAACTTACAAAAGGGACAGGGAGAATATATTTGTAACACAGGAATAACATACAAAATATATAAACGATAACATGTTCAGTATGTTTTCACAAAAAAAGAAAGAAATCCGGCTAGGCGCAATGGCTCACACCTGTGATCTCAACACTTTGGGAGGCTGAGGTCGGCGGATCATTAGGTCAGGAGTTAGAGAACAGCTTGGCCAACATGGTGAAACCTGTCTCTACTAAAGATACAAAAATTAGCCGAATGTGGTGGCTCATGACTGTAATCCCAGCTACTAGGGAGGCTGAGGCATGAGAATTGCTTGAACCTGGGAGGCAGAGGTTGCAGGGAGGCAGAGGCTGCAGTGAGCCGAGATAGCGCCACTGCACTCCAGCTTGGGCGATAAAGCAAGACTGAGTCTCAAAAAAAAAAAAAAAAAAAAAAAAAAATCCAATATAATATAAACAATACTCTGGCTTCATCAGAGAATGTGGCTTACTCCAACAGCAGGAACTTAGCACTGGAGAAGGAATGTGTCATATGACAAGGTGAGTAGGAGCCAGATATGAAGAGATCTGCTGGCCACAGTAAAGAGTCGGGTTTTATTCCTAGTACAAAAAAAAGCTGTCCAAATTGAAGCACACAATGTCAGAACTTATGTTTTAGAAAGAATTTTCTGGCTGATAATAGCAATCAGATCAGAGAGGGCAAGAATTTAAATATACACATATACAATTTCTCTAGTATATATTTTATGTGCACATAAATAGGACAGGTTGAGGCCAGATTAAACAGTATCAAATCGCTGGCAGGAACTTTTTCTTTTCAAAAGTAGAATCATACTAGATTTATGTTTTAAAACATTATTTCTGGTAGCATTATGAGAACCCAAAAAGCGAGCTGTATCAATAAACAGGCTAAACATATTATGAAGGTATTAGCTATCGCAATAAAAATAGGGAAAAAGAATTTATCTGAGTAGCAGGTACAATCATAAAGATAGGGCCAATGATAGGATGTGTTTGGACTTGAAAGGTGTTTAATACATGAGTGGGAACTCTCCTCTCAGAAAAAACCTGGAGAAGTCATGGAAAGGTTATTTTTTCTGAAGCTATCTATAAAGAAGACACTATACCAGAAAATGAGATCTCTTTAGGTCTTTAAAGTTTGCATCTCTTGACTGCTCAGCTCTTCTCAGAATGCAGTGCTTACAAAATATGTATCTTACATCGAGATAGTAAGCTTGAGACATCATCCTTAAAAGTTAACTCTTCTGGTCGGGTGGAAAAGAAATGTCTCCTTTAAAGTAGTTTTACTTCTAGAACAAACTGAAAGACTATTTTTCGGCTCACCACATATTTGATTCCTTCCAGAAATCTGTGGTGATGCTGTACATGTTGCATTTCATCTTCAGGGTTGGAGGCAGTATATATCATGCCACAAGACTTACACACAGTAGCCCCAAAATGTTTCTGACCAGCATCCTATAAATGGGGGGTAAAAAAAAAAAAAAAGCCCATTTAAATATAGAACAGGTAGCTCTAAATTAAGTTCCTATAACCATTCATTCAAATTTCACCTTATTTATTTTTTTCTGCTGACAAGTAAAAAACTAAATGAAAGTCTGGTCACTATATCCTCCTTCCCTCCCCCAGGACAAAATAAAATGAGAAGAGTTCAGGCCAGGAGTGGTGGCTCATGCCTGTAATCCCAGCACTCTGGGAGGCTGAGGATGAGTGAATCACTTGAGCCAAGGAGTTCAAGACCAGCCTGGGCAACAAGGTGGGACTCTGTTTGGGGAAGGAAAAAAAGAGAAGATACCTAAAAATGCAACAAATTGATGAGGGAGGCAATTGTTTATTGGAATGGACAGTGTAAAAAACCAGATTCTTTTATTTTTACAAGATTCTTTACTAGACCCATGGTTCTATGAAGGAATAAGATTAAATCATGGAAATTATAGCTAAAATTAAAACTGGAAGGTTTTTAATGAAACAAAGACCTCAAAAAGCCTTATTTCAAACATGAAGGGCAAAAACTTTAGGACTTTTATATTAATTATACAATATTTTTCCTTAAGCATCTAGGAATATTAAATTCTTTAATTCTTTTTTTTTTTTTTTTGAGATGGAATTTCGCTCTTGTTACCCAGGCTGGAGTGCAATGGCGCGATCTCGGCTCACCGCAACCTCTGCCTCCTGGGTTCAGGCAATTCTCCTGCCTCAGCCTCCTGAGTAGCTGGGATTATAGGCACGCGCCACCATGCCCAGCTAATTTTTTGTATTTTTAGTAGAGACGGGGTTTCACCATGTTGACCAGGTTGGTCTCGATCTCTCGACCTCGTGATCCACCCGCCTCAGCCTCCCAAAGTGCTGGGATTACAGGCTTGAGCCACTGCGCCCGGCCTAAATTCTTTAATTCTTAAAGAATGTTAAAGTTATTTGACCCAAGAGTTAACAAAAAATAAAGTTGGGAAAATCACAGTTTAATTCAAGAATATTCAGTATCACCACCTACAATTCCCATTCTGTCACATAAAACATTCCTTAATGCCACTGAAAATACTAAGTTCTGGGCTGGGTGTGGTGGCTCACACTTGTAATCCCAGCACTTCCGGAGGCCAAGGAGGGTGGATCACAAGGTCAGGAGTTCAAGACCAGCCTGGCCAATATGGCGACACGCCATCTCTACCAAAATTAGCTCAGTGTAGTGGCACATGCCTGTAGTTCCAGCTACTCAGGACGCTGAGGCAGAAGAAACACCTTGAACCTGGGAGGCAGAGGTTACAGTGAGCCAAGATTAGGTCACTGAACTCTGGCCTGGGCAACAGAGTGAGACTTCATCTCAAAAACGAAAAGCAAAAAACAAAAAAGAAAACACCGAGTTCTGAATTGTCTAATACAGTAGTTGGCAAGCTTTTTCTGTAAAGGGCTAGGTAGGAGAAGCTTTGTTTTGATTTTACTCACAATGACGAGTTGGTCTTTTGCTTTTTTACTTGTATCTCTGATAATAGTATTTTTCTGAATATTGGTCTGTTTCAAGAAGTTGACAGATCCCACAGAAGAGTGTTCTTCACCAAAAGATCTTGACACAGAAAATTGATAAATATCATATAAATTTACAATGTTTGCGGAATTACAATGGAAATAAAGACGACATTTAAGAGACCATCTTGCAATTTTTAGTGCTAACTGACATTAACTTGATGAGATAATAGGGACAAGAACAAGAAGAAACCTGAGACCCACTCAGAGAGGGTCAGTAATTTACTTAAGGTAAAGTTAACCAGTAAATGGCAGTGTTAACACTCAAATCCTGGTCTTCTGACTCCAAGTCCTAGGGACTTTCTTCTATAGTGTCAGATGCACATTTCGGAAATTGACTTTACATTTAAAAAAAAGTTTTTTTTTTTTTGTTTTTTTATCAAATCTTAGTACCGTATTTACCTATACAGCTATAAAGAAATTCCTGAGCTACTAGAGGAAATAATATTGAACTTCACAGATCCACAGGCAATCAGAGTCATCATATTATAACCTAGCCAACATTTTACTAGAGCAAAGCAGCTACTAAATTTCCCTTTCCTCACACCAAAAGCAGCAACTCACGACTTTGAAATTCTTAAAGGGAAAAAAGAAACATGTTTAGGCTGAGTAGATGTAGTTGAGATAACCTTTAACTATTAGGAAAGAATGTTGAGATCCACTTACAGAGGTTGCAAACTGGAGCCCCTCAGGCCAAATCTAGCTAGCAGGTATGTTTTGGTTGGCCCATATGGTTATTTAACAGTTTGGGTTAGCTACCAATACTTTATAATCTAGAGATTTCACTTAAAAATGTGTATTTCCAATATTAAGAGAGACACTGAGGGGTGGGCACAATGGCTCACACCTGTCATCCCAGCACTTTGGGAGGCCAAGGTGGGCGCATTACCAGGTCAAGAGATCAAGACCATCTTGGCCAACATGGTAAAACCCAAACTCTACTAAAAATACAAAAATTAGTCAGGCATGGTGGCACGCACCTGTAGTCCCAGCTACTTGGGAAGCTGAGGCAGGAAAATCTCTTGAACCTGGGAGGCGGAGGTCGCAGTGAGCCCTGATAGTGCCACTGCACTCCTGCCTGATGACAGCAAGACTCGGTCTCAAAAAAAATAATAAAAATAAAATAAACAGATACTGTTAAGATCACTAAACCTCTATTCCATCAATGAATCTACTAGTCAGAACTTGGAATAGCACATGCCCTTTTAAGTGGGCAATTCTTCAGCTGGCCCTAGTTTTCACCCAGCCTGCTGGTTCTGTAGGTACTAAGTTTGTAACCCTTGCCTTGTAATGAAAAGACCTCGGTTTTCCAGGGACCGAAGGCATAGAAATCCCTAGAAAGTAGAAGCAAATAGGCAAGGGGAAAAAACGAAAAAACGAAAAAACCTAGGTCCCAAAGTAAGAAGTTCAAACAGGAAAAAAAACCTGACAAAATAAAGTTGGGGGGCGGGGGAGAGTGGAAAAAATAAATAAAGCAAACGCTTTATTGCATTAAGCTAAGTCAAGCTGCCTTATTACCATTTGTCTGAAAAGCAGTTTCCAAATTGACTTGACAAATCTTGCTAAGAAATACATTTTACATCATAACTAGTACAGACATAAAACCAAAGTTTCACTAAATATACTTGCTATGTGAGAGATAACACTATTCCATTAAAAATAAATGCTAGATATGACATCCTAAACTGATCTAACAAACTACTAAAGGGCTGCTACCTGCAGTATGAAAAACACCTGTCCAAGTCACTGACCCTTTTCACCTTATGCAGCCTTTGCTAAGTAACTCAGCTCCCCCTGACCCTGCATGTGTGACAGCCATCTCTTTGCTTCCATTTTAGCAATTGTAATACTAAACTATACTTGTTTAAATGTCTACCCTCCTCTAACCATAACCTCCTTGATAGCAAGACCCCATTGATTATCTTCACATCTCTAGGGCTCAGTATAGTTTAAAAGCACATGATAAATATTCTCTAAATGTTCATTGAATGAACCTTAAAAACCAAAAAACAAACGTGAACTAAGCACTTTGAGAATCTGTTATCTACCTGAATAAATTTCAAGAAATTGCTGTTATGTGATGTTAAGGAGTCTACAAAAAGAGCAATTTCATATTATTTAACAAATAACATCCGACTGTCTTTTTTTTTTTTTTTTTTTTGAGATGGAGTCTTGCTCAGTCACCCAGACTGGAGTACAGTGGCACGATCCTGGCTCACTGCAACCTCCGTCTCATGAGTTCAAGCTATTCTCCCATCTCAGCCTCCCGAGTACCTGGGATTACAGGTGAGTCCCATCATGCCCAGCTAATTTTTGTATTTTTAGTAAAGATGAGGTTTCACCAAGTTGGCCAGGCTAGTCTCGAACTTCTGACCTCAGGTGATCCACCAGCCTCGGCCTCCCAAAGTGCTGGGATTATAGGTGTGAGCCACCCTGCCCGGCCTGTCTCTTTATGCTAGACTAAATTAGCATACACTTTTATCAGTTAATTGTGGAAGGTTTCTGCTGTGGTTTGAACAAGTCCCCCAAAGTTCATGTGTGAAAACTTAATCTCCAGTGCAACAAGTTTTGGGAGGTGTTTAGCTCATGATGGCTCCACCTTCATAAATGGACTAATGTTGATTATTGAAGGATGTGAGACTGCAAACCAAGCTCTCTTGTTCTGTCATGAACACTCTCTTGTTATTCTGCTTTCCGCCATGGGATCATGCAGCAAGAAGGCACCCACCAGATGTGGCTGCTTCATGTTGGACTTCTCAGCCCCTAGAACTGAGAGTCAAATTTCTGTTCATTATAAATTACCTAGTCCATGGTATTCTATGCAGCTCCCATCTTCAATAAAAGGTCATGAAAGATGACAACACAGGCAAGAAATGGGAAGGTGAGAAAACTAGAAACCAACCTTCGAAGAGAAAAGCTGCCCACCCAACCTAATCACTAAGGCAATTTAAGGTGATGTTCTCTGAGAGTAACATAATGTAGCCAGGAAGTTCCATGCTTAATATATGAAGTTATTTATAACCAAATGGGGAGAGAAAGATCAAAGCTAATTAGGAAGAGGATGTTTAGACTCTAAGAAACTACTTTTTCAAAGCTCTGATGGCTCTCATGCTCTCGACCCATCCATGCCTCCCCCATCACAGTCTTTAGCTTTGAATAGGATACTGGTAGCTTCAGCTACACCTTATGGTAATGTTAAGCTGCTGCAAGTTACTTACTCCTGTAGCCAGATCCCTCATCTACAAAATGGGGTAATGGTGCCTACATCATCAAGTTGTAAATGCTTCTTAACTTTTAGCTATGATGAGTATACTTTCACCCAAGGAAGGCAATGTAACATAATGGACATTTGGTTCAGATACAGATTCTAGTCCTGGTCCTAGCACCTAACAGCTGTGTAACTGTGGCTCAATTACAAACAGTTTCTTAGGCTCAAAACAGAATAACAGTATCTACCCTCTAAGTTGTTGTGATAATTGAGATAATAGATATAAAAATACTTATTTTGGGTCAGGTATTATACAATGTTAGCAATGATCATTACTTAAGCCTATGAGGAAGTTTTCCATCTCAAGTTTTTATGATGTCTCTATGAGGGACTGATTTCATTGCTCTGTTCTCAAAATTAGTCTCCTATTCCCTATGGAAGAAAAAAAAACTCCCCAAATTAAGTAGCATGAGACTAAAAGAGAGACCCAAAGGACCTATAATTTATAAGGCTTAGACTTTAAAACAATAACAATTCTCACCTTTTTGAATTGACTGAAGATGCATTGAAGATTGGATAGACAGTGGACTTAGGAGAAACTGGTAAGGAAAAAATTGTGATGTGTATTACTAAATAAAATCAAAGCTTTAATTCATAAGATTTCAAAAGTTAGTAAGACAAAATACTACTCAAAATCAAGACTTAAGAGGCAAAGGTAACTCCATGGAGAAAAAACAGTCAACAAATGGTGCTAGACCATTTAAATGGACCAATTAAACGTCCATATGCAAAAAAGAAAAAAAAAATTACACCTATTCAAATCTTAGGTAAAAGTAACTCAAAATGGATCACAGATGTAAATGTAAAACTATGACCAGGCCTGGTGGCTCATGCCTGTAATCCCAACACTTTAGGTCTAGGAATTCAAGACCACCCTGGGCAACTTACTAAGACCGTGTCTCTACAAAAAAATTAATTGTAATAAAGTAAAAACATAAAACTATAAAACGTCTAAAAAATTAGGAAAAAAACTTCATGAACTTTAAATGTGGTGATAAGTTTTTACATACAACACCAAAACGACAATACATTTTTTTAAAAATTAGGACTTTATCAAAGTAAGATATTTTTCTCTACAAAAAAAAAAAAAAAGAATTAAGAGAATGAAAAGACAAGCCACAGATTGTGGAGAGAAAATATCTGCAATCATATATCTGACCAAGAACTTATACCGAGAATATATAAAGAAATTTTATGGTATATTGATAGTTCAGTGATAAATGAGAATTACTACTGATACACCCAACGACGTAGATGAACCTTAAATGTATTACTAAGCAAAATAAGCCAGACCCCAAAGGATAAATATATGTAAAGTTTTTCTGGAAAAGGTAAAACTATAGAAATAGAAAGCAGATTAATGGTTGCCAGCAGGCTTGGGGAAAGAGTAATTAACAACAAAGTGTAGGCTTAGGGAAATTTTAGGGTGAAGGAACCGTTCTGTATGGTACTGTAATGGCTAATACGTAACTCTATACATTTCATAAATCCCACAGAACTGTAAAAATCACAAAGAATGAACTTCATTTCTTGATTTTTTGCTGGAAAAAAATGAACTTCAATGTCTACCAAATGAGAAAAAAATATGTATAAATATCAACCAGGCTATTGAGGCATCCTAAGATGGAATGCAGACAGTAAGAAATAAATCTAACAATGTTAAAACTGTATAGCATAATAACACTGAAAAAGGTAGTGGGATAAAGAGAAGCTGTCCTAAATAACTTTAGCAAACGATGTTTTGACCAGAAGTAAGGATAAAGACAAAGACTGCACTTAAAATTGCACTCTAGGCCAGGCATGATCGCTCAAGCCTGTAATCCAAGAACTTTGGGAGGCAGAGGCAGGTGGCTCACCTGAGGTCAGGAGTTCGAGACCAGCCTGGCCAACACGGCGAAACCCCTTCTCTACTAAAAATACAAAAAAAATTAGCCAGACATGGTGGCAGGTACCTGTAATCCCAGCTCCAGCTACTTGGAAGGCTGAGGTGGGAGAATCGCTAGAACCCCGGGGGCAGAGGCAGCAGTGAGCCAAGGTCCCGCCACTGCATTCCAGCTTGGGTGGCAAAGCAAGACTCTATCTCCCAGAGGGGGAAAAAAAAAAAAAAAAAAAAAGCACTCTAATTGGTTTATTTCTTACATGGGTATGAATGAACAATTATGAAACTGCTTTACATGTTTACTGGGACAGAACAAACCAGTAAGTAGGTGGATAGTGAACGGTTGGAACTAAGTTTCTCATTGTCTGAGAGGGAAGTTACAGATGAAAAAAAGGATAGGACAGGCTGGGTGCGGTGGCTCACACCTGTAATCCTAGCACTTTGGGAGGCCAAGGCGGGTGGATCATGGGGCCAGGAGATCAAGACCATCCTGGCCAAAAGGGTAAAACCCCATCTCTACCAAAAAACACAAAAATTAGCTGGATGTGGTGGTACGCGCTTGTAGTACCAGCTACTTGGGAGGCTGAGGCAGGGGAATTGCTTGAATCCGGGCGGTGGAGGTTGCAGTGAATCAAGATCGCGCCACTGCGCTCAAAAAAAAAAAAAAAAAAAAAAAAAGAGAGAGAGAGAGAAGAAAAAAAAGGCTAGAATAAACCCTGGAGTGCAGGATTAGAGTTTGAGATATGCAAACAAAGAAACAAGGAAAAGACAGAAAATGTCACAGACCAGAGAAAGCTAAAGACACATAACAATTACATATAATATAGTACCATGGATTGGATACTGGAACAGAAAGAAAACGTTAACAGAGTTAACAGCAATATACCACTATCAATATTTGGTGAACTCCAAATAAAGTCTAGTGTTATGGCCGGGGACAGTGGCTCACACCTAGCACTCTGGGAGGCTGAGACAGGTCGGTCACTTTAGGTCAGGAGTTTGAGACCAGCCTGGCCAACATAGTGAAATTCTACTTCGGCAAAAATACAAAAATTAGCTGGGTATGGTGGCAGACACCTGTAATCCCAGCTACTTGGGAGGCTGAGGCAGGAGACATGCTTGAACCAGGGAGGCAGAGGCTGCAGTGTGTTGTGATCATGCCATTGCACTCCAGCCTGGGCAACACAACCAAAGTCCATCTATACCAATACCAGTTTCTCATTTTGACAAAAGTATTACGGTAACATAAGATGTTAAGAATGGAGAAAACAGGGAAAGAGATACACTGCTATTCTCTGTACTTTAACTTTTCTGTAAATCTAGAATTATGGCAAAATAAACAGCCTATTAAAAGAAAAGACCAAATTTAAAACAGCAATTAATTTGAGGAAAATAGTAAGTTGAGAGTCGGCTAAAAAAACAAACTTCGCACTGGAAAATAATTAGAACTCATCTCCTAGAAACAAGACTAAGGCAGGTGAGGGTCTGATGTGCTGTGGGTAAGTTGTTCAATGCAAGTCCATTTCCTCATCTATAAATAGGCATATCAGAACCTACAGTAGTTGGGATAATTAAATGATGAAGTGTAGTTATTAATAAAATTTTGTTTGTTTTTATGTTACTTTCATTTCTGCCATATCCTTATATCATTTATTTTTACTCACAAATTTTCTTTAAATTAACTTCGACAATGTATTAAAATTTATTTTAAAAGAAAAATTGGTAACTAGTATTAAGTAGATGCCATAGTTTTTCTGACATAGGTTCTATTTTATCAGTTGAGTACAACCTATGAAAACCTAACGCATACTACTTAGCAGCGCCTGATATATACATTCAGCACTCAGTAAATACTAGTTATTAACATCACATCTCAGAATCATAAAAAAAAGAACTAGTCTTATCAGAACAGGAATCTCCGAGGACAAAAAAAAGGGAATCATGGTGAATATGTATCATTAGATCCTCTAAGTATTACTGTTTCAGATCATCTTTTAACTTTTTCTTTTCTTTTTTTTTTTTTTGAGACAGAGTTTCGCTCTTGTTGCCCAGGCTGGAGTGCAATGGCGCGATCTCGGCTCAACGCAACCTCCGCCTCCTGGGTTCAAGCAATTCTCCTGCCTCAGCCTCCTGAGTAGCTGGGGTTACAGGCAAGCGCCACCATGCCTAGCTACTTTTTTGTATTTTTAGTAGAGACGGGGTTTCACCATGTTGACCGGGATGGTCTCGATCTCTCGACCTCGTGATCCACCCACCTCGGCCTCCCAAAGTGCTGGGATTACAGGCTTGAGCCACCGCACCCGGCCCTTAACTTTTTATTTTCTATTAGCTACAGCTTCTCACTTGAGTCAGCAGGTCTAATCCAAGAATTTTAATTTATTTCCACATATGTAGACATAACCAATGAGGTGCCATTATTAAGAATCTGGTTGGTAAAGTGCTAGTGAACCACTTTATGTATCATATTTAGTAAGCTGTTTAATTGAACACTGACAGCATAAATTAGGAATGGGATTTCAGAACTGACAGGAATTTAAAAATTACCTTTTAACTCCTTAGAGATCTCTTCCTTGATCATACAGCTAATTAGCAGTAAGCCTAGACAAAAATCTCCTGGTTTCTGATGCTTAATTTCTATGTCATTTATATGACTTAGGAAGTTCTGCTAACAATTGGGCTTTGATCAAAAATGTACATAATAGTTTTAACTCCTTATTATTTTGGGTGATAGTGTAGGTATGATTTTATAATGAGAATACTCAACTCTAGAGAGCTTCAGTAACTTGGCCACAACCATAGACCAATTAAGCCTAATATTTTGTCTAAAATTTTAATCTAGGATCTCCTTGTTTCCTGCTTTTCAAAACGCAATGCACTGCTTTACTACAGAAAACAGTGTCATAGAGAAACACAAAGATACTAACCACAGGCACAGTACTGAAGAAAGAAAAAGACCTAGAAAATATTTTAAAGGAATTCTATTATTGTATAACATATGTAATAAAGCATTATTTTAAGTAGCTACATTCAAGCAAGTTTTCCCTTACTTGTCTTCTCACCAAGAGAATCCTCTGAAGGAAAAGGCTTATTTTTATCAACTTCATATTCCTTTGAAGAAACTCTGTCACCTGATGAGTTCTGAAAATAAACAGGAAAAAAAAAGTAAACAAATCTGTAATTTTAACTGTTTTCTAGTGAATGAATCCCAGTAGATCTGTTTCTAAAACAAAATATTTGGTTTATTATGAATTACATTTCACGTGATTTTAAATCAATTTTCAAATGATTTTTACAAAAATTTCCCCTGTATTCACTAAGTGTACATCATCTTTTAAAAGCCAGAGTACAAATACTGTAATCTGTCATCCTCTCAAAAATGTATACTTCCTGATAAAGATGGTAGAATGATTATAGACCATCACTTTCATAATGAAATGAACAATAAACATTAGTAAAAATGGCAAAAACTTCCCCAGCAGCCACCAAACTGCTGGGGAAAGGGACCACTTTTTGACACAAACTCTAAAACGAGCAAGGAAAGAATAACTTTCTGGAAGTCACTGGAGAGCAGCAGGAATGTGGGAAAAGCAAAGTAAAAAAATCATGACGGATTTCCCTCATATCAATTTGGGAATTACTAGGGAATATACAGTTTGGGGAAAAAGCAAAAAACTCTTAGTTAAAGCAGAACTTCTACTCAAGACCATACTATCCCAGCAGAGGTAGGATAACCCATCCGTTTTCACACTTCTCAGGGCTCCATGAGCTGAGGAAAGGGTATCCTCATAAAAATCAGATTCACCTTTAGCCAGCAAAGATGAATCCTAGACATGGTTACTTCGCAAAATCCTGAAAGCATAGCCCAGTTCTACAAACTTAAGATGCACAAAAGCCCAGCTTCCCATATTACTGAAAAGTATCTCAATACCAATCCCATAAAGTGAAAATAAGAGAATGAAAAGAAGACAGAAAAGGATGTTACAGAGAATTCATCAAGTCAGCATACCAAGGCTATACTAAACAGTAAGAATAATCATCAGGAGATGCATGGGGCAACTACAGACCCCTCCTTTGTTTTGCCGGATTGAGACAATGTTAGCTTGAGTTATGCCCCAAACTTTCAAAAAAACTTAATTTTCATACAGTCAAATGTACAGGTATAAAGCAGTTTAATAAATTTTGATAAACCTTACCTTTGTAATCAAAATCCCCATCAAGACACAGAAGTGTTTCGTTGATATGAACAAAAAATTAGTAAAATTAGACTGTCATGGCTTAGGCAGCAAGAACATATCTCATTTAATATACTTGGCTGTACTTGATAAACAAGAAAAAAATTAACAAAAAACACAGTGAGAACTAAAAACTGAAATGCCTTACAAGGGCAGCAGGTAAGCAAAATTATCAAAACTAAAGTGATCTAAATACATATATATACACTGACTTAGTGAGAGAAATGAAGAGCCGTATTTGTCAAACAGCATGATACTCAGCCTGATATTCAGCTGACTGTTGCCAGGTAGAAATGAAGACTCAGCTTTCAATATTTCAGGAGATACCAAAAATGTTTTTGTTGTATTTTTTAAAATTTTTGGCCCTAATTTTTAAAATATGTAGGCCTAAAAAAACATTTATGGGTGAGATTTGGTTTCCTAGTCACCAATTTATCTTTGCCACTGAGGTTTGAAATTTAGGTGATTACCAGAGGTATGAACTGGGGTTGAATATCAGAGAAGCTGGTGAGGAGGATAATGATGAAAGTGGGTTAGGAAAGAAATGACTATAAGCCTGTCACTTCTCCAGCTACAAGGGTCATGATGAATGTAAACAAGCCACTATAGACATGCAAGCCTTGACTTGGGAGACCTTTCTTTTTTTTTTTTTTTTTTTTTTTTTTTTTTTTGAGACAGAGTTTCGCTCTTGTTACCCAGGCTGGAGTGCAATGGCGCCATCTCGGCTCACCGCAACCTCCGCCTCCTGGGTTCAGGCAATTCTCCTGCCTCAGCCTCCTGAGTAGCTGGGATTACAGGCACGCGCCACCACGCCCAGCTAATTTTTTGTATTTTTAGTAGAGACGGGGTTTCACCATGTTGACCAGGATGGTCTCGATCTCTTGACCTCGTGATCCACCCGCCTCGGCCTCCCAAAGTGCTGGGATTACAGGCTTGAGCCACCGCGCCCGGCGGGAGACCTTTCTTAAGGTAGCTTCAGTGGCTTTCTGCCCCTAGCTGCCCCACAAAACCCAACTTTTTTTTTTTTTTTTTTTTTTGATGAAGATTATAGACAGGAGGTCAGCAACAGAAGTTCTAGACCAGCATGGTCTAATACAGTAGCCACCAGCTGCATGTATCTACTGAGAACTTAAAATGCAGCTGGGATAGGTGCTGTGGCTCATACCATAATCCCAGCAATTTGGGAGAGTGAGGCAGGTGAATTACTACATCCCAGTAGTTTGAGATCAGCCTGGCCAGTATGGCGAAACCCCAGTCTCTACAAAAAATATAAGAATTAGCCGGGTGAGGTAGTGTGTACCTATAGTACCAGCTACTTGGGAGGCGGAGGCAGAAGGATCCCTTGAGCTCAGAAGGTTAAAGCTGTAGTGAGCTGGGTCACGAAGACCGACCCTGTCTCAATAAAAAAGAAAATAAATAAATGAATAAACTACCTATAATAAGTAAACACTATGCTATCTGGCTTTATAAAAGCAGTTCAGAAAATAAAATTGTACTCAATTATTACATTTATACTGGTTTTGTTATATAACCATTTTTAAAACAACATATTTAGCTTTCTTTACCTTTATTAATTTCTCTTGATTTTTACTGCTTACATTCAGTAGCTCAATGTTCAATTTCTCTTCTAGGAACAAGCACTTTGGCACTTGCCTTGTCTCAAGCGCTTTTTTTTCACTGACAGTCTCTACATCAGAATCTTCAATCAATTCTGATTTATTCTTTCCGGTGAGTCCCATTGATGGCTCATTTTCCGAGGACCACTTTCTAAGAGAGGATTTTTTTCTACTAACAAAAAATGCTGCTCCACCCTGAAGTGTAACTTGTGGTTTTATTTTTTGGCTTAGAACCCGAGGAGCATTGGGATTATTTTCAGCCGAGTAACAATTATTCTCTTTCTCCCCAACTGGCTTACAGACTACTCTATTTTGCTTGGAATTTTTAGGATTCCTTGATACAGGCTTGATGTGCCTATACCTTGGTTGATACTTAGCAGTTAAACTCTTCTGTGGCTTTTTGTTGTTCTTCTTGGGGCAGACTGGTTTTCCCTGCATTTTTTCTGTCACGATGGGAAAAGATTTATCTTCAACATGATTTTTTAGGTAAGTAGATCTACTCTCTTTTATCAGCTTCCTCTCCAGCGGGTTGAGGTACCACTTATTTTGGTTGTAAAAAGATACAGTGGACACAGCAGATTTAAATGGTGAGCCTTGATTTGCTGATGGCCGTCTATTTATTTCAGATGTTTTGAATGCACTTAAAACAAAAGGCCCTTGTTGAGAAGAAAGCAGGTTCTCTTCATTTGTATCACTGTTTTAATAAAAAACAATGCTTTTTATTAGGTGATGGAAACAGATTTTCAGTGAAGAGCAAAAGGCTATTAAAAGTCCATTGATAAGATTATTTTGCATCAGAATTTACGTAAGTTTACTACCAAGTAATAATCTCTACTTATAGGTCATATTAAAGACAACACATGCCCGCCCAACATACATACAATTTTCTATTAGTTTAACAGAATTCTCAAATTCTATCAAGTAAAACATTCAAATATCTTCCCAAAAAGCCCAATGTTCATGAAAACAAATACCACATTCAAGGAAGCTCTGACAGACATATATATGCAAATGTGTTTTAATTTTTTTAAGATGGAAGTCTCACTCCATCATTCAGGCTGGAGTACAACAGTGTGGTCTCGGCTCACTGCAACCTCTGCCTCCCCAGGTTCAAGCTATTCTCTCGCCCTCAGCCTCCCGAGGAGCTGGGACCACAGGCACATGACACCACACCCGGCTAATTTTTGTATTTTTAGTACAGACAGGATTTCACTATGTAGGCCAGGCTGGTCTCAAATTCCCAACCTCGTGATCCAACCACCTTCACCTCCCAAAGTGCTGGGATTACAGGCGTGAGGCACCCCGTCCAGCTGCGTGTTTCAAAATCTATTTCTCTGTGTCATATATAAATTATGGCTCATTTATTTTGCTCTATTGGCCACACAGCTGTAATAATTGTCTGTAATAAACTGACCCCTTGAAGCTTTTCCTGGGTAGAATAATATCCGAGTGCACAGACTTTCTAGAATTGTTTACAGACAAGCATCTACTGTGTCCAAAACACTGTACACTATTATAGGGGAATAAAAAGGAACAAGGCAATAACCGATCTAGTATACTTCCTAGCCACAGAAAATAGCTTTCTTCAATGTGCTGCTTTTGTCAAAAGAAAAAACTTTGATTCCCTTGAAAAGGACTAATTCATTATGAAAACTTAATGTATTTCCAAACTAGAATTCGAATATAGGTTATCACTGTAGCCACAAGAAGTAGGCTAGTGGAAGAAAAAAAATTTTATAAAATAAAAGAGAAACAAAGACAGTGGATTTTTCTTTAAGAATTTCTATTCATAGGCCGAGATTCATTCACCTGTCACAGTTCAAAAAATCCTGCTTCCTCTTCCTTGAAGTCAGAGCTGCCATCTTCTTTATTGAATTCCTAAAAGAAGTGACAATTTTTACAACCAAATTCACCAAAGCACATCGCTTTATCAAAATTACACTTTCAAAGTCTGAAAAGTTTCCAGATGGGCGATGGTCTATACAGATCCAGGAAAAGGCTTTTTTTAAAAAAGCAACTTTCTCTAATAAAAATTTAAACCGTGTTTTAAGAAGGGAGAGAGGAAACACTGGGCAAATAAGAACAGAAAATAAAAGTAGGGATCCCATCTATGTTTCAGGCTGGAAAATCACCCCAGCATGGGGGAAATAGTTTGTGGCCTCTTTCAGGGCAGGCTTTCCCCTTGAACGAGTCTAATTCACCCCAGGTGAACCGACACCGCCCTCCTCCCACCCCTCCCGGGTTGCACGCGCTCGTCCTCGGCCGGCATGGCACCCGTGTTTCCCTACTAGTCCACTGTAGTCATTTTCTTCTTGTTTCTCCATCTCCACAGCCTGAGCGTTCGCTGAAGGCAGAGACCGTTTGTAACTTTTCCTCAGAGCCCACCAAGAAAAGCTCCGCCATTGTCCCAGCTGAGGAGCCCGGAGCACGCCGTCTGCTTCCCTTTTTTATGAAAAACCTCTTAAAAGCCGGGCGCGGTGGCTCAAGCCTGTAATCCCAGCGCTTTGGGAGGCCGAGGCGGGTGGATCACGAGGTCAAGAGATCGAGACCATCCTGGTCAACATGGTGAAACCCCATCTCTACTAAAAATACAAAAAAAAAATAGCTGGGCATGGTGGCGTGTGCCTGTAAACCCAGCCACTCAGGAGGCTGAGGCAGGAGAATTGCCTGAGCCCAGGAGGCGGAGGTGGCGGTGAGCCGAGATCGCGCCATTGCACTCCAGCCTGGGTAACGAGAGCGAAACTCCGTCTCAAAAAAAAAAAAAAAAAAAAGACTAAACAAAAAACCAAACCTCTTAAAAGTCACGGGGCTGCTGAAAACAAACGCAAGGCTACCCGAGCAGGCGGCTGTGGGGCTCGTCAGAGCTCATTTCCTTCCCCTTCCCTGGGACCAGGGAAACCCCCCCGACAGCGGCACACACGCCTTATTTCAAAGCTATGACGAAAAGAACACACGGAAATTCAGGTCGAGCTGCAACTTAAGCAAGGACCCTTCTGGGGCGAACCGAGGAAAGGCAGGAGAGGAAAGCGTCCCGACCCTAAACCCTGTCAGCGAAAAAACCACACACCGGAAACAAGGAAACGCCGCGCCTCTGAGCGCGGAGAACGCGTCAGTGGCTTCTTCGCTCTTGGGCCCGCGGACCTGCAGAGCGCGGAGCAAAAGCTCTTTTCCCTTGAGATTCGCCCCCACGTTCCACAGGGTCTCCCGCCCGCCTCAGCCTTCCACAGCCTCGCCTCGGCCTACTGAGGTTATATTACCTGCGCCGCAGATATGTGCAAGCGCTCCTCAGCCGAGCCAGCCGCTCTATGAGCGTCTTCAAATTACCGCGCGCCAGGGTAGGCGGAAGTCGCTGCGTTCCGATTGGCCACGGCTCAGCGCTTCCAGGGGCTGGTTCGATGATTGGTGGAGCACCAGCTCTTACCCCGCCCACCTGGGCTGTTTCCAAGATTCTCGCGCCTTGGGGCGGTGAAAAGTTCTGAGGGAAACCACGCCTCCCACAATCCCCGGCAACAGCGCCGGGATCCGTTCCCGGGGCCTTGTTTAGGTGCATTCTGGGAATCGTAGTTCTCGGCACCGTTGAAGTCGCGATACATTCTGGGGTCACTTGGGGTAAGAAGTTTTTGTAAAAATGGCCTCTCCAAGATTCTTGATGCACTTACTTTTCACATTTGAAGCTTGATTGTTAGTTTCACTTTTTTTTATTAGTAACTTCAGGTTTCTATTCACTATTTTATTTTTCAAATTAAAATATAAATCAACACCTGCTGTGTGCCAGGCATTCTTGGATGTTTTACCTGTTTTGTTTCATTTACTCCTGACCACAATCTGTAAGGTAAGGTATTAATATCTATTCACATTACCATTTTTACAAATAATACAACTGAGAGCCTCAAAACAATTACTGTTTATAGAATAGAGCTAAATTCTTACTTTGGAAAACCAGAAAGTTCCCAAAACAGTTATTGTTAGCTGTTGTTATTTGTGTCACCAGTTCCTGGTACAGTGTCTCTGGCACATGTTTAGTTTCAAATAAATTTAGGGTTTTTTTTTTTTTTTTTTTCAAATTTAATTTTCACAAATTTGCATGTCATTCTTGAGCAGAGACCATGTCAATGTTCTCTGTATCATTCCAATTTTAGTATATGTGTTGTCAAAGCGAGTACCTAAATAAATTTCGTTAAGTGACACAATTTCATAGAATTCAATTTCATAGAATGAAGTCAGTGACAGTGATGTGTCAGTTTAAAAGGAAAAGGCTGAGGCAAAAATGTAGAGTTTGCTTGAGTTAAAGTGGGGACAACTGCCCAGAAGATTTCCACCCCTCCCCACCTCAGATAAGAGCTCTGTCCAGGCTGGGCGCGGTGGCTTACGCCTGTAATCCCAGCACTTCGGGAAGCGGAGGTGGGCGGATCACCTGAGGTTTGGAGTTCGAGACCAGCCTGGCCAACATGGAGAAACCACATCTCAAAAAAAAAAAAAAAAAAAAGAGCTATGTCCGGCCTTTGCTACAAGCAGGTCTTTAAAGACGAAAAGGGGACAGGAAGTGAAGCTGATACAAAACTGTCAAGTATTCTCATTGATTATAGGAGCTACATAGATCAATGATTGGCAAGACATTGTTACGCTATAGGGTGCGGATCATAGTGTCTTGTGTGGCACTGTCTAGTAGATAGCTACTTATGGCAAAAGCAAGTAGTTTCAGGAGATGAATACATAGCTCAAAGGGTAAGTGGAACGTGATGGGGTCTCATTTTAATGCCTCTCAAGACCCGGTAATTTAAAGGGACTCACATTCCTCCGATGAAAGTGCTTTCTCAAGAGAAATAATCAGGGCAAAGCCAAGTGCTGTAGGAGCTTTACATGAGTACGATTATTCCCACTTCACAGCAGGAGAACCTCTGAGGTTCAGATGTTTGGGATGGCAGGCCTTCGATTTAAGCCAGAACAAAGTCCAGTCTCCAAGAGGCATACTGTCCTGGTGAGTATCAGGAACGAGCTTGAGTGCTATGTTCTAAACTCTTGGTCCCCATTAACTTACTGAACCCTAAACAATATCCTGTGAGTTAGCTGCTCTAGTATCATCTTCACTTCACGGCTGAGGACAGTGAAGCGCGGATAGGTTAACCCATGTGCCCAAGATGCCCAGCCTCTTGCCTCAATCCACAAATCACGGAACCAGACTCCTTGCCGGTACCCTTCGCCCCGCCGGGATGAACGGTGGCGCCCACGACCGGGGTTGTGACGCCACCCGACGTCCTCCGGAAGTGCACGGAGGAGTTCCGGGGACCAGGCGACCGCCGCGCCACTGGTGTCCTGAGCTTCCTGAGTTGCGCGCTGCTGCTCCGCGGTGGGGTCGCCGCACGGCCGCCGAGATCATGGTGTTCTACTTCACCAGCAGCAGCGGTGAGTGGGCGCCGCGTCCTCCCCGGACCCTGCTGGACGGCGGGCTCCGATGCCGGGATCCCCAGTCCGCCGCTGCGCCCGAACCTCGCCCTAAAACGCCTCCTCGATGCCAGTGCCTCTTCCCGCGGCCGCTCGGCCCCTCAGCGCGTCTGGCCCTCTCACGTCCCCTCGTCACGGCGTGGGGGGCGCGGAGGGGCGATGCCACTGCCATGTTTGTATCCGGGAGTTCTCGTCCCCCAGCCGGAAGGACGTCCTGTCACTCCCTGGAATTGGGCAGAGCCTGTGGGCTTCTCCACACACCTTATCCCCGGTCTTCTTCCCACCTTCCATCTGCGGCCTGACAATTATCCCCCGTGAGAAAGGAGACACCCGCTAGCAACTGTTTCTTAAGGGAAGTGCGCCTCACCCTTTCGGGAAAGGGTTGTGGGGTCTGGGACTCAAAAGAAAGCACTAAAAAAGACCCTGGAATGTCACACAGCCACTTCCTGGGCAGTTGATGTCCCAGATCTCGAAAGTGACCTGTGATAATGCTTCTGACTTAATCTTCCGCAAATAAGGAAAGGGTGCCTTTCGTTCCCAGGAACTGCGGTGTCCCGACTTGGCTTTATTCTGTTCCTGTTACTCCCCTTTCCTAAAATGAACCCCCAGCTGATTCCCTTAAGACAGTTTTGGCCCATCTTTTCCAAGATGCCTTTCCTGATCCTAGGTCCCAACCTAAGAGTGCTTAGCTTATTCCTTTTCTGGGACCCACTTAACGTTCCAAGTATACCTTTGGCATTGCACTTATCACGTGGTATTAAATGGTGTCTGCTTGAGCTAGAGTGTAAGCCCCTTGAGGGCGTGGACAGGATCTCTTTACAGTACTCCCTACTTGTCCTGGGTTTCACTTTCTGTGGTCATATCATAACAAGAAGAAAAAGGATGCGTACAGTACAATAAGATATTTTGAGAGAGCAACCAAGAGAGAGCAGATTCACGTAGCTTTTATAACATTACGTTGTTGTAATTCTTCTATTTTATTATTAGTTGTTGCCAATAATCTCTTACTCCACCGAACTGATACATTATCATAGGTATATAGGAAAAACTAGTAGTCATGCATCCCTCAATGACAAGAGTACGTTCTGAGAAATGCTTCATTAGGCGGTTTCATCGTTGTAGCAACATCGTATACTTAAACCTGTGGTCCAGCCTACTGCAAATGTAGGCTGTGCGCTATACCGTGTTGCTCCTAGGCTACACATCTGTCCAGCACGTTGCTGTATTGAATGCTGTAGGCAATTGTAATGCAATAGTATTTGCGTATTTAAATGGGTCTCAACACAGAACAAGTAATGAGTTGCACCACAGTGTTATGATGGCTACCAGGCCATCAGGAGAAAGTGATCGAAAATTTTCAGCTCCGTTATAATGTAATGGGACCACCTGAGTATGCGTGGTTTGTTGTTGGCCAAAACATCATTATGTGGCAAGTACCTTTACATGTGGAAATCAGTACTGTCCTTGGTATCAAGCATCTACTGGAGATCTTGGAAGGCCTCCCCCAAGATAAGGCGGCGGCGGCGGCTACTGTATTTGCTTCCCTAACTTAATGACTGGCTAATAGTTCTCAATAAATGCTTGTTGAATAAATGAATGGCATTTTTAAAATTACTCATAGTGCTTTCTATTCTATTGCTACTCTGTATGCTTGCTTGCTAAAGGTGAGGTTTGCTGGAGTGCAATGGTGCAATCTCGGCTCACCGCAACCTCCACCTCCCAGGTTCAAGCGATTCTCCTGCCTTAGCCTCCCAAGTAGCTGGAATTACAGGTATGCGCTACCATGCCCAGCTAATTTTGTATTTTTTTTTTTTTTTTAATAGAAACAGGGTTTCTCCATGTTGGTCAGGCTGGTCTCAAACTCCTGACCTCAGGTGATCTGCCTGCCTTGGCATTCCATAGTGCTGGGATCACAGGTGTAACCCATTGTGCCCAGCCTAAAGGTGAGATTTAGTTTAGTTTATTTATTTATTTTTGAGACAAAGTCTTCCTTTGTTGCCCAGGCTAGAGTGCAGTGGTACGATCTTGGCTCACTGCAACCTCCGCCTCCTGGGGTCAAGTGATTGTTGTGCTTCAGCTGGGATTACAGGTGCCAGCCAACATGCCTGGCTGATTTTTTATTTTTAGTAAAGACAAAGTTTTATTATGTTGCCCAGGCTGGTCTTGAATTCCTAAGCTTAAGTGATCTGCCCACCTTGACCTCCCAAAGTGCTGGAATTACAACAGGTGAGGTGTGTGTGTGTGTGTGTGTGTGTGTGTGTTTTGAGATGAAGTCTCTCTGTCATCCCAGGCTAGAGTACAGTGATGTGATCTCAGCTCACTGCATTTTCTACCTCCTGGGTTCAAGCAATTCTCCTGCCTCAGTCTCCCAAGTAGCTGGGATTACAGGCACATGCCACCATGCCCAGCTAATTTTTATATTTTGTTAGTAGAGACTGAGTTTCACCATGTTGGGCAGACTGTTCTCGAACCCCTGACCTCAAGTGATCTGCCTGCCTTGGCCTCCCAAAGTGCTGGGATTAAAGACGTGAATCACCACGCCCAGCCAAAAGGAGAGATTTAAGTGAAACTAGTTCCACATTGTCTGTGTGGGTTTGAATAAGATGATATTTTCTCTTTAGAAAGAAAAAGATTGAGGCCCAGGGATTATAACTCACAGACCACAGTCTTACTCCTTCGTCACACTGATAATCACCTTATTTTTCTCAGTAGCGCAGGCTTCCACAGTGTGTGCCATAGCTGTTTCTCTGCCTCTGTACCTGTGGTTTGTTTTACTCATATTATTAAAATAATTAGAAAGAAAATTCAGGCCGGGCGCGGTGGCTCAAGCCTGTAATCCCAGCACTTTGGGAGGCCGAGGCGGGCAGATCACGAGGTCGACAGATCGAGACCATCCTGGTCAATATGGTGAAACCCCGTCTCTACTAAAAATACAAAAAAGTAGCTGGGCATGGTGGCACATGCCTGTAATCTGAGCTACTCAGGAGGCTGAGGCAGGAGAATTGCCTGAACCCAGGAGGCGGAGGTTGCGGTGAGCCGAGATCACGCCATTGCACTCCAGCCTGGGTAACAAGAGCGAAACTCCGTCTCAAAAAAAAAAAGAAAGAAAATTCAAAACCCAACTTTGAAATCAGTGACTCTAACCCCTGAATGTGGTAGAGAGCCCATTAGAATTTGCAACACACCTGGAATATGTATAATATTGGCTGAATAAAATTATGAAAAATAAAACTTTGGTAAACAAGGGAACTTTGTTGTGGGGTTCTGTTTTGTTTTGTTTTCTTTTTTTTTTTTTTTTTAACTCTTAAAGAAGGCAAAAGTATAGAACTGGACTGAGGATCCCATTAAGCTGTAACCCTGAGAAAGCAGGAAAATAGTCAAGTAGTCATTGGTAGCGAAGGTAGACTTTTCCTTTTGGGACCAGATAGTAAATATTTTTTGTGAGTCACCTACAACTTGTGTAGCATATTATTTGTTTTGCTTTTTTTTTCAACCCTTTGAGAACATAAAAACCATTCTTAGCTCAAGGGCTGTCCGAAAACATGTGGTAGGCTGGATTTGGATCATGGGCCATGGGGTGCCAACACCTAATCTAAGCATTATCTCTTGTTTTTCACATGAAACAATTTTGTAGGTGATGAAGTTACTAATTGTTTTTTATTTTCATTTTATCTTAGTGAATTCATCTGTCTACACTATTTACATGGGAAAGGACAAATATGAAAGTAAGTTGTCAAAAGCATTTGATTTTGAAATTTTCAGCAGGTAAGTATTGTCTCTCACGCACCACCTTCCGTGTCTCTATCCAGTTTGTTGGTTCTGAGTTTTTACCTACTTTGATAATCTAGCTTTTGAGAAACAAAACAAGCTCACCCAGTATAAGGAACTCCAAAGGATTAACTTTCCTAGAATGTCATTATATCAAATAGTATTTGAACTAATTGGTTCATATGTTGCTGATTAGGAACTTTATAACAAGTATTTTTTTGTTATTTGATTTACGGTAATATAAATCAGAGATTAACCTTTGCTAATTTACTTCAAATAAAAAAAATCCTCTATGGCTGGAACTTTGAAGAGATCATTTTCTGTCCATCTATTTTTTTTTTTTTTTCTTTTTTGAGAGGGAGTCTCGCTCTGTTGCCCAGGCTGGAGTGCGGTGGTGCCATCTCTGCTCACTGCAGCCTCCACCTTCTGGGTTCAAGTTATTCTCTCACCTCAGCCTCCCGAGTAGCTGGGACTACAGGCACATGCCACCACACCTGACTAATTTTTGTATTTTTACTATAGATGGAGTTTTGCCATGTTGGCCAGGCTGGTCTTAGTCTCCTGACCTCAGGTGATCCACACACCTCAGCCTCCCAAAGTGCTGGGATTACAGGCGTGAGCCACCGCGCCCCTGCATCTATGTTTTACAACCATTTTTAAATGGTTAAATTAGTGAAATTAGTGAAAACATATCTACTGGGGTTTTTGAGGCTGAAGATGCTCTTTGTGAGTTAAGAAATACTAGTTTTTTTCAAGCTTTGTTGACCACTCTTCTTAGTATGAAGTACATTATATTTTGATGTACACGTTCATATTGCTAAAACAAAAACCTACAGAAATTACTCATACTTCTTGCTAGTCCCTCTTTTTACTGCTTCTGTTTTATTTCAGTTTTGAAAGCTAGTCTCAATCTGCTAAATACATTTTTTTGGCCCACTAATAAATTTGAAGTAAAGTTTAAAAAAAGAAGAGCACTTTTTCATGATAATAAAATGATGACATTAACTTAAGGTGTTACTTAATGGTGAAGCAGCCTGCAGCATAGTAATACTTGAGTTTTACATTTTTCCAAACCCATAAATCATGCTAAGTAAGATCGATTGTTAAAGCATTTTTCTTATGTAGCTGAGGAGGTGCAGCTCTCTCCCTATGTTATGTTGAGCAGTAAGGTGGAGTAGCAGGAGTCATGGTTATCTATGGTCAATACAAATACAAACCTTTTTCTTTGTACCATATCAAGAGTGGGACCCCGAGACTTCGATCTCTGAGAAGCACTAGCAGAGCTGCCACATACGCCTGTGCAGGCTTGGACTGTGCAGCTCGGGGAGGGCGTGTGAAGAGCTGCCTCGATTCTGGTTCACATGGATGGGTTAGCAGTGGTGCCAACCTCAGGCAGCTGTGCCAGTGGCATTCCCACTGCGTCTCTTGTCCTTCTCTGTTCATTTACTGTTTGCTGGGGGCTTCTCTGTGTGGGACCATGTTCCAGCCTGTGTGAGGTATCCCAGGAGGAAGATTGAGTTTGAGCTTTCACAGCCTTCACGTGGACTCACACCCAAAAATAAGTATGGCTCAATTTTGTTGTGAACCTACTCTAAAAAGTAAAGTCTATTTTTAAAAATTACAGACAAAATGAAGTAAAATGAATATGAAGTAATGAGTAATGTGAATAGTAAATGCTGTCGAAGTAGACAGATCAGAGATAGTACGTGTGATTGAAAGCTGAGAAGGCTTTGTGGAGGAGTGGCTTAGGATGCACTAGATTGTGGAATCCTTTAAATGTCTGTCGTAGGAATACATAGATACAAATCTAGATATAGAATCTATGTCACAGATGTAAATTTAGATGATATTTTTAGAGCCCTCTAGAGTGGCATTTTGCTGTCACTAAAACTTATGTAGAAAGAAATGTAAGAGGCCAGGCATGGTGGCCTGTAATCCCAGCACTTGACAGGCTGAGGTGGGAAGATCACTTGAGCCCAGGAGTTCAAGACTGGCCTGAGCAACACAGGGAGACCCTGTCTCTGCAAGAAACAATAATAAAAGAAAATATTAGCTGGGCATAGTGGCACATACCTGTTGTCCTAGCTACTCAAGAGGGTGAGGCAGGAAGATCGCTTGAGCCTGGGAGGTAGGCTGCAGTGAGCCGTGATCATGCCACTGCATTCCAGCTTGAGTGACAGAGAGAGAGCCTGCTGTCTGAAATAAATGGATGAATGTCTGTTACATATGTATGGAACACTTTTTCCCTAGGAACCCTCAGAGTCATTTGGACATATCAACTTTTCCTAGGCTGTCTTGTAAGAATGGATGTTTCTTTTCTAAATAACCCCATTGTCTGGCATTCCTAGCACATTGCACTTATTTCTAATAGTCTTGATGACTTCTGACCAAGAACTCGATGGAACCATCAATTTCAATGGAATGATTACTTTCACTAAAAAGCTTTCAGGTCTGTTCTTTTTGTCAGCCAACAGGTGTCATCAGGGAGCCAAACTTTGCCTGACTGAGGGAAAGAGATTTTTAAATCTCCCTTTCCTTTCTCTGGTTACCTTTTGGCTATTTGCTCAGTCCTGCTTAAACCATTAGAAAGCCTTTCAGAAAACTGATCGTGGCTATAGTTGCTAAGAATGCCCTCACCCAAGATGTGTCTTCCTGTTGCTTTTCCTTGGGTACATTTTAAATCATCACATATGAATTGTTTACCTTTTTTTTTTTTTTTTTTTTTTTGAGAGAGAGTCTCACTCTGTCACCACCCAGACTGGAATGCAATGGTGCAATTTCAGCTCACTGCAACCTCCACCTCCTGGCTTCAAGGAATTCTCCCACCTCAGCCTCCTGAGTAGCTAGGGCTACTGGTGCATGCTCCCATGCCTGGCTAATTTTGTAATTTTAGTGGAGATGGATGGGGTTTCGCCATGTTGGCCAGGCTGGTCTCAAACTCCTGACCTCAGGTGATCCACTCACCTCAGCCTCCCAAAGTGCTGGGATTACAGGTGTGAGCCACTGGGCCCAGCCTCATTTACAATTTTAAAATTGGTGTTTTATAAATACTTATGTATTACATAGAATTATTACTAATTATTAATATGGCTATAAGAAATACTTATTGATAAAACCTTTCTGTAGTAATATATATTAGCCTTAAAAAATGTGCATTCACTTTGAGCTAACACTAGCTTTTAGAAATATACCTTAAGGAAATAATCAGAAATATGGACAACTTACTTAATAAAATTTATTGAAGCATTTATAATTAGAAACACCCAAGGGCCAACAATAGAAAAGTTATTCATATGATACAATTAGGTAGTCATTGTTTCCAAAGAACTTTCTTAATTTTTATTTTCATCTAACAAATACATAGTTTACAAAGTCAAGTAGTAATAGAATGCTTAAAATTAAAATCCAGATTCTTCTTAATATCCATGTTCCACCCCACCTCTACCTCCCCAGACAATTACTTTCCACCCCGTTAGCTGTTTCTTCTGGTATTTTATTTCTATATGTGATGGAATTTTAGATGATTTAAATTTCTTTTTATACTTCCGATGTTCATTTTGCTTGAAATTTTCTATAATTTTATAACCAAGTTATTTTTTCTTAAAGAAGTAAAATATATATTGTTTTAAAGTTTCAGCAAGATCATTTTAATATTTAAGTATTAAACGAATTGATCGTCTAAAACAGGCGTCCCCAAACTTTTTACACAGGGGGCCAGTTCACTGTCCCTCAGACCGTTGGAGGGCCGCCACATACTGTGCTCCTCTCACTGACCACCAATGAAAGAGGTGCCCCTTCCTGAAGTGCGGCGGGGGGCCGGATAAATAGCCTCAGGGGGCCGCATGCGGCCCGCGGGCCCGTAGTTTGGGGACGCCTGTCTAAAACATCTAATGTCTTGGCTGCTTTGTTTTGTCAGTGTTAGTTTTATTATCTTCACATAGAAATAACATCTTTGAGCTTTAGATTAGAAGCATTATATAAATATAAAAATTATAAAGTTTATATGGTTCTATTGTGAAAATTATTTTTATTTTTCTGTATTTTCAAGCATCAAGGCCTCTGAATTACTCTTCTTCATTGAGGGGAGAGAAATTTGTGGGAGGAGCTGACATTTCTCCCATTCTTAATTTATAAACCCTGGGGTATCTTCATTTGATAATTTTTCTTTCTTTGTTTTCTCGTATCTCATTGCAGATGAAGATCTGATCAAGCATGGCTGGCCTGAAGATATCTGGTAAGTAACAGTTTTGGTTCTGCCCTCTGTGGATCATCATTTCCTTTCTTAGACTTGGCCGAGCACCCAACTCCTGTGATTAAACTGGAATCGTGCTTTGTACTGTGGTTTATGGGTCTTCAGGAGTAAACAGCTGACTGCCAGTTCCCTTCATTTCTAGTTACTCTGCAAGTTGGAAATGATGTTTTTTGGTTTGATCTCAGGCTTGAGAGCAAAGGCCTCTAGGACACAAGCCTTATTTTTCCTCCTTTCGTCTCAACGCCGTAGTAAGTTACTGAGATGACACCTCACTTAAATATTCAGGCCACTGCTGTTGTGGAAAAATGAAGACTTCACAAGAAGCAACGAAGAACTTAGATACAAGCATCCATGCAGATGGAATAGATGGAGGTTCCGACCGGTCCAGCTTTAAAGAAAACACACTTGTTCCTCTTTGTCTTCTCAACTCCCAGATGAGTTTAGCTCTGACTTGATCAGACCCCAGTGCCTTCTTTCTAAAACAATTTCTGGGAACTGTTTTAAATAATAACACATACTTTCTTAGTCTCCCTTTGAGATAATTTCTTTTGCTCACAAAACCAAGTCCAAAACAACAACAGGAACAACAACAACAAAACAAACAAAAATACTTCATTTAGGCTGAATTCTTTTCTTTGTCTTAGAACATCATATAGACTTCGCCATTCAGACCTGGGGCCTTTTAGGAATACGTGGACTTCGGTCTTATAACACTCCCACACCCAGTGCACTTTCTTTTCGTTATCTTTGGTTTCCACCACTGACTCTGACCCTAGTAATGTCTCTCCTGGAGCACAGTCCTGCCTATGGAGTAGGATATCATGTTCCTGACTCCTCATACCTCCTACCAAATGCTGTCCCTGAAGAGAAAGGCACCTGGATTCTGTTTGCATTATTATGATAGTGATAGTGAACACCTATCAAGCGCTTAACTATATACCAAATACTACTAAGTATTTACGTCCATTAATACATTCAGTTTCACAACAACCCTGCGAAATAAGTGTTGATATTATGCCCATCTTTTCAGCAAATTAAGGTGAAGAGAAACTGAACGGGTCTGCTCTGTCTGCTACCAGCTCCAGCTCTGGTTCTAAGTCACTGCTTCTCTCTTCCTCCAGGCTGCTACTCTTTTGGCTCCAACTTCTTTCTTCTCCCAGGCTGTTGCTGCTGCTCTCTCTGGACTTTTCTCCAAATGTGGACATAGACCCTTCACTTAATTCCATCCAGCAACAGAGTTGAGGCTACTGCTTTTTATAAGAGTTAATTGAGTTTTCAATAAAATATACAACATTGAGCATTCAGCGGAGGAAATACTGCAGAGAGCAACTCAAGCTACCCTTAAATGTGGCTATACTCAGAATCCCCAGGCATATCTGCAGGAGCTCTCTAAAGGGCCGCCTGTGTTGCTGCATTATGAAGGGGCTAGTTCATAATCCCAGTGGAAATAATCTTCTGCCTATCTAACCTCTTTGAAGTCCACACCCAGGAATCAAGAAGAGCTAGGAACAAAGGAATTTCTTTTCTTTTTTTTTTTTTTTAATTGAGATGGAGTTTTGCTCTTGTTGCCCAGGCTGGAGTGCAATGGCATAATCTCAGCTCATTGCAACCTCCACCTGCAGGGTTCAAGTGATTCTCCTGCCTCAGCCTCCTGAGTAGCTGGGAATACATACAGGTGCCTGCCACCACACCTGGCTAATTTTTTGTATTTTTTTTTTTTTTTTTTTTTTTTTTTTGAGACAGAATCTCACTCTGTTGCCCAGGGTGGAGTGCAGTGTCGCAATCTTGGCTCACTGCCACCTCCACCTCCTGGGTTCAAGCTATTCTCCTGCTGCAGCCTCCCAAGTAGCTGGGATTACAGGCATGCAACACCATGCCCTGCTATTTTTTTTTTTTTTTTGAGACAGAATCTCACCCTGTAGCCCAAGCTAGAGTACAGTGGCATGATCTCAGCTCACTGCAACCTCTGCTTCCCTGGTTCAAGTGATTCTCCTGCCGCAGCCTCCTGAGTAGCCAGGACTACAGGCGCATGACACCATGCCCCGCTAATTTTTTTGTATTTTTAGTAGAGATGGGGTTTCATCATGTTGGCCACGCTGGTCTCAAACTCCTGGACCTCAAGTGATCCGCCCACCTCGGTCTCCTAAAGTGCTGGGATTACAGGTGTGAGCCACTGTGCCCAGCCTGAAATTTATCTTTAAATGAAGGAAAATAGAAATAGTGTGCATTTGCTGTGTCCAGACCTCCTAATGATTAGATTTCCACAGACTCCACTTTAAGTAGGTGGACAGCCCAGCTCCAGGGCCCTGAATCTGTATCCTCAGACAGTTGATGCTCATTTAGTGAAGTTTCTGGTCTCTGTGTTCAGAAAAGGGTAACAGGGATTTAGCAGGGTGAGGAAGGTAACAAGGACAAGAGGAAACTATGGCTATAATTTAAACTTCTAGCAAATATTTAGAAAGGTTTGGGAAGTTGTTTCTTTCTTAAGGAAACTTGCTCAAGATAGTTTGTTTCTACAGCCGGATTTTTATTTTTTCTCTTATGCTTTCATCCATTCCCCCCTGCCTTTTGTAGAGGTGTATCTGTCATGTACAAACCTGAAATTGGTGTATATTGGTAAAGTTGGTGTATTTTGGCAGTGATATTCCTGTGCGTGTTTTGGTTCTTTCTCTACTTTTGTATGAATATCATTGAATATATATTGAATTATTTGGGTATTTCTTTTGACAAAATTCTCCATCAGAGACCTTCAAGAAAAATCAGAATACAATCTACTGTAGGTACATAGGGAAGGAGATGTTGTAAACAGAGAACTGGCTTAAAGCAAATAAAAGTTGGAGTGTGAGAAGTAACTTCTCAGTTAACTTGGGTACTAGTGCGATATTTTCCTACGATTCTGAAAGAGGATAATGAGATATGTAATTTTTAGATCTGCAAAAAGCACAGGTTTTTCTGGCTAGAAAACACCCAGCTGAAGGTGATAGTAGGAATCTCTCACATGGGAAGGCAAATGAGTAAGGGAACCATTTGGAGAAATATAAATCAAATAAGATGTTACGTTCATTTCTGGCTACCAGTAATGATTAAGAGTAAAACCTAAAGTCATCATAGACCGTGTGCCAAAAAAGCCTCAACTTTTTTGTATGCACAGTGAATAGCAAGATGACTAACCCCTTTAAAGAGGGCATTTTATTTAGAATCATACAGTCTACACTTGTACTAGGTGTGACTGTGACCATTTTTACCTCTATAACGTTCATTAGCGCTTAAGAAAATGGCTAGAGAAACATATAAGGGGATGTAATAGTGCCTCTTGAGGATTTTCTGAACACTCTTCTGTCTGGAAAGGTAAGGACCAAGGGACCAAGGAAGCAGTATGACTATTGTGTTAGTCTGTTCTTGCATGGTTGTAAAGAAATACCTGAGACTGGTTAATTTGTAAAGAGGTTTAACTGGCTCATGGTTTGGAAGGCTGTACAGGAAGCATGGTGGTGTCTGTTTCTGGGAGGCCTCAGGGAACTTTCAATCATGGTGGAAGGCAAAGTGGGAGCGAGGCGTCGCACATGGCAGCAGCAGGGTGTGGGGCTACACACTTTTGAACAACCAGCTCTCGTGAGCACTCTATCACAGGAACGGCACCAAGGGGATGGTGCTAAACCATTCATGAAGGATCCACCCCCATGATTCAGTCACCTCCCACCAGGCCCCACTTCTAACACTGGGAATTACAATTCAGCCTGAGATTTGGTGGGGATGCAAATCCAAACCATATCAACTAAAGTTAACAGAATCATGAAGTGACAATCGTGTTACCTTGTTTGTTGTGTGATGCTGGGATTCTGAGGGGTCATCTCCAGGTATTTGAAAGAGAAAGTCAAGTCCATTGGCGAAATGAAAACATGAAAATCTCATATCCTGAATGTTGCATAGATTTTAAAAGGTCTAATTAAATTGATAGATGATAGAGCCATAATAAAAGGTAAATTTAAGGGATGGGGACATTCTGAATGTTTTTAGGACAATGTCAATAAAGGGCAATGCTCACCCAGGAGACATGTATTAGTGTCAGTGTCGGAACACAGGGCTGATGAACTGTTGGGCTGGTGACTTATCGGGTTACATTACTGAATTGTAACCCATTTAATAATGTGTTCTGCTTAGCATCTTTAGGCCTCACCTAACTCTTTCAGCTCTCTCTCTGACATTCTCTTCGGATTGTTTTGCTGTCACTGGAAATTTGGGATGTCGCAAATAAAACTGTCATCTTTTTCCGCCAAACTGCGGTTCTGCTAATGTCCCAGGCTTGCAGCATTGGAGACTTACTGACTTCTTCCACTGCCACTCTTTCCACCTGAAATTCCTTTCCTTGGTTTTGCTCTAAGTCCTCTGCTTCAGGGAACTTTTAATCATGGCAGGGGCCAGCCACATCTCACTGCTTCCTTTTTTATCATGAAGCCTTTCGTCACTGATAGTTCTTTTTATATCTTGAAAAAATCACCCTTCTCAGCACAGCAAATATTTAGTATCTCTACTTATCTTGGCATTTACTCACTTATAGCTGCGTTACTCAGTAGTTCTCGTACCTCTTCATGGTGATGGGGAACCCTTTGGAGGTGATGACTCTGTTTTATACCCCTCATGATGCTTCATACATGGCAGGCACGGAGTGAGGACCTTTTAGAATAGAATGCTTTAAATGGCTTGTGCCCTGAGGAGATGATTGTCTTGTGCTTCTTGCTAAAAGTGGTTTTCATTCTTTGTAGGTTTCATGTGGACAAACTCTCTTCGGCTCATGTATACCTTCGATTACATAAGGTAACTGAATTTAAACATGGATTCTTGACTTTCCTCCTGATGATGCATCATATCTTGTTCTTTATCTTTTGCAATTAAATTGTTTAAAGTAATAAGTCTGTATGCAAATCTAAAAGTTAACAAATGAAGACATGCCTTCCCTCTGACCCAGAAAATCACTATGGAACATTCTAGGTGATTCTTGAGATTAGTGTACATATTTCCCACCTAGACGCACTGCTTCGTCCTACACTTCAGGTGTGTCGTCTGTCACCTCTGCTTTCCTTCCCTTTCGATTCGGTTGATACTCCCAGACTTTCTGTCTCCTCCAGTGGATGTTATGTGTGGCTCATGTGATTCTCCTGCCTCAGTGAAGGCCACGTGTTTCCAGTTATGGACTTCTTTAGGAAGTTTAAAAGAACATACTAGTAATAAAAGAAACAAGGTGTAATGGCCCCTAGTAATACAGTACCACTATTTTTTCAATCTGTCTCCATTTGTTTGTGTTATATAGTTGAATCATAGGCTATATATGCTTGTGAGTGTACTGCTTTCTTTTTGATAAACTTTTAACTTTGGAAAAATGTTAGATTTACAGAAAAGCGGCAGAAGTCATACACAGTTCTCAACCACGCTTCACCTTGTTTCTCCCATCATTCACACGTTACATTACTGTGGTAGATTTGTCAAGATGAAGAAACTAACCTTGGCACCTTGCTGTCGCCTGAACTCTGGACTTCATTTGGATCCACCAGTTTTCTATTAATGCCCTCTTTTTCTTCTAGTAGTCAGTCTAGAGTACCATATTACATTGAGCTCTGTCTGCCTAGTCTCCTCTAGTCTGTGACAATTTCTCATGCTTTCTCTGTTTTTTATGACCTTGACAGTTGGAGAAGTACTGATCAGGTGTTTTGTAGAATATTGCTCAGTTTGCATTTATCTGACTTTTTTCTCATGACTAGACAGGTTATGGGTTTAAGGGGAAGAACATCATGGAGGCGAAGTGCCTCTCTCATCACAGCATAGCGGGCACATGCATTACCATGACTTATCATTGATGATGTCAGCCTCAATTGCCTGGCCCGGGTAGTGTTTGGGGGTTTCTCCACTGTAAGGTTGCTTTTCTCCCCCTTTCCATCATCTTGTTTGGAAGCAAGTCACCAAATCCAGCCCATACTCAAGTGGGTGGAGGATGGAATTAAGCACTGCTTCCTGGAGAGGGGAGTGTCTATATACATTATTTGGAATTCTGGAAGGAATATTTGTCTCTTTCCCCCTATTTATTTATTCAGTCATTTATTTGCATCAGCCTAGACTCCTGTGTTTGTTTTATCCTTTGAGGATGTTCTGGAACCGGGTTATTTTACTGATATTGTTGTGGCTTCAGCTGGCTGCCCTGTCTTCTGACATGCTCCCATCCTTTCGTTCTTGGAGCAGCACATCCTTACTTTCTGGCACTACAGAGAGCTCCAGGCTCGTCTTGTATTTTTCCTGTCCCAGCTCTAGAATCGGCATTTCACCAAGGAACCCTGGTTCCTGTCACTGGTAATGGTGTTTCAAAATCAAGATCTAGACAGATCCTTTTATAGTTTATGAGTGTGATGATTGGCTGTTCATGTGCATGTGTGAGATGTGCCACCCTTGAACCTTGTCACGTGTGACGTGAAAAAATGTAAAAAAGATCTGCGCTCTCGGTATGCCTGTTACCACTGGAGTGTCATTGCTTTTCTGCCCTCTCAGCTTACAGAGAAGGAGAGAGATGTATGTATACTAACACATGTATATGCACACAGCTGTAATTGTTTCTGTGTCTCTCCATCTGTATTTATATTAAGCTAAATATGAGCTCATGGGGATGGCTCTGTCATCCATTGATACAGGTTTGTCTTTTTGCCTTAAACCATTTCTGCTCAAAACATTGTTTTCCATGCTAACACTTTGGAAGGCTCAGGCAGGAGGAATGCTTGAGCCTAGGAGTTCAAGACCAGCCTGGGCAACATAGGGAGACCCTGTCTCTATAAAAAAAAAAAAAAAGTGGCTGGTTGTGGGATGCCCACCTGTGGTCCCAGCTACTCGGGAGGCTGAGGTAGGAGGCTTGCTTGAGCCCAGGAGACTGAGGCTTTAGTGAGCCATGATTACACCACTGCACTACAGCCTGGGCAACAGAGCAAGACCCTGTCTCAAGAACAACAAAACAACAACAGAAACACATCATTTTTCAAAGTTAGCTGTAAGCTACTTTTCCCCCCACTCCTTTCAGTGATGAGGCGTCCTGTGTTTGTAATACAGTTCAATTCTTTTGTCCACATTCCATCTTGACATCCCCTGGTTGATTGGATTACTTTTTTTTTTTTTTTGAGACAGAGTCTTGCTCTGTCTCCAGGCACCAGGCTAGGGTGCAGTGGCTCAATCTCGGCTCACTGCAACCTCCGCCTCCCAGGTTCAAGCAGTTATCCTGCCTCAGCCTCCCAAGTAGCTGGGAATACAGGCAAGTGCCACCACGCCCAGCTAATTTTTGAGTTTTTTAGTAGAGAGGGAGTTTCACCATGTTGGCCAGGATATTTCGTTGATTGGATCACTTTTTAATGTGACGTTTTATGAACTTTTTTATATTGCTATATAATTTTCATATTTGTTATTTTGACTGGCTACATTGAGTTAATATGTTGCAATTAATATGAAACTCCCTTGTCAGAAAATAGGTTGTTTACAATTTTTCAGCATTATCAATCACCAAGAAATATCTTTTTGTGAGCCACCTTCTGGTTTTGTATTTCGTTTTTAATTATTCTCTTAGAATAATTCTTAAGAATGGAATTCCTGGGTCAAAAGATGTACATATTTTGGTAACTGCTTTTTTGCCAGATTGCCCTCTTAAAATACTGTGCTTATTTAAAATGCTATCTACTATTTATAGGTTTTCCAAAGCCTTTTTCGGTTTTATAACTTTAAAAATAAAAATAAAAATCCTTTGACCATTTTGATAAATTAAAGATGCTACTTCATTATAGCAATAACATTCACTTTTTAGTTTAGTAGCAAGGTTAGACATTGTGCCCCATCTCATACTATTGGTTTTTGAGGACTGTATGTTGAAGGAAAAGAGGATTATGAACTCTATGCAGGAGCAAACTTCTGCATTCTTTTAGGCAATTTCTTGCCATTTTGGAACTATTAGATTTAGAGAAAATCAGGTATGGTGTTACCAAGTTCCATTTTGGGTCAGATTAATGTTTTCTTTGGGGGGGTCCGCTGTGTCAGAAGATAGAAAATACCGGTGGTAGTCCCAAGTTCACATTACCACCAGTTATTAATTGTTTGAATAGAAGTTCAATTTCCCTTTCTTTGGAAGCACAAAATGAGCTCAATTTGATAACTTTTGGTAGATATGGGGTCACACTGTGTTGCCCAGGCTGGTCTCGAACACCTGGGCTCAAGCTGCCCTCCCACCGTGGTTTCCCAAAGTGATTATAGGCCTGAGCCCCTAAACCCAGCCTGATGTGCCCAATTTGAAAGTGTATGCTCCTTGAGGAACTTTTAACTGGTTCATTTCCTGCAGTAAATGGCACAGCCGTTGTGCTCAGTGGGTACCAAGGAAGTGTTGGAGATGCAGTAAGACTAAGGGGTTCATTCAGACGCTGGGGCCAGACTGCTGGCTTTGGATTCTGGTTCTGCTGCTTACTTGCCACGTGACTCTGAGCAAGTTACTTAACTGGCCTGTTTCCCCGCCTGTAAAAGGAGTATCACCTCACTTACTCATCTTTGATTTTGATAGAAATCTCTATAGAGACAAAGGATCAGTGTCATTTCTGTAACTTCTTCCTTACAGTGAATGGTTGAGATCTAATACAACAAAAACTTTTTTCATGATTAAAGCTGAAGATAGGTGACCTACCAGATGTATGAGACCTAAAACTACACATTTTGTTTTGAGAGGAAGATCATAGGGACCTCGGCTAGGAAGACATGCAGTTGTCAAAAATAGGCACCATTTTCTCACACAACTTCTAGAAGTTAGAATGAGAAGAAAGAGAATAAAAATTACTCAGACAAAATTATAATTAATTCTGGTCTTTTAAAAATTTCCTGGTGGTTTTTTTTTTACTTATTGTCAGTATTTTTTCATATTACAGCCTTCTCTTATTTTAAACAAACATTCCCATAATGCACACGGTAAATTTACTTCTTTTTTTCAGTGCTCTGTAACATAGCTGAAGAGCCTCTGTTTTTAATTAAATCATGCCTAGTAGATAAGGCGGCAGATACCCTTTGGATGCTCCAGTGTCAATGAATAATGAGGTAGTGGACCAATGGGTTTATTTTTGTGTTTCAGGGAGAAAATATAGAAGACATCCCAAAGGAAGTGCTGATGGACTGTGCTCACCTTGTGAAGGCCAATAGCATTCAAGGTCAGTTTTCCTAGCGGTGGTTTTATAACACTGTCTTTTTAGTGGTGGTTTTAGAATTAGCACTGACTTTCTCTGTGTCTGAAATGGATTACATTTTAGTGAACATGCTGTTGACTTTGGCCTACATCAAAGGAATAACATGTTCTCTGCCTTTGCCATGTTTTGTTCTTTAAGGTGGATGGCAATTTTGCTACCTGTCAAAGAACTAAAAACTGATCTCCCAACCCCTGTTGTTGTTATGGTCCTATCTGAGCCTCAGCTCTTTTTACTGTTTCCTTACTTTGAATATAAGGTTGTCTAGATTTGCCTATACTTAGTATTATTATAAAAAGACTGGGAAAAAAAAAAAAAGACTGGGAAATTTGGTGGTCTTGATAGCTAAGCAAGAATAATGTGTTTTGTGGCTTTATTTTTTAATGCTGTTTGTATCTTTATTTCCATTATTTGTCACTAACTTCTGGAATTAAAGTCCCCAAATCATGCTTTTCTACTTTTTCTTTCTCCCCTCCTCTTACATACTTTTTCCCTCTTAAATTGTGAAATTGTTAAGTCAATTAATCATGTTACTTCCCCTCCCTACCGAAGAGAATCTTATTTAGTTGGTCTGGGGTGATCCTCGAATATCACAGCTTTTAAAAGCTCCCTGGATTATTCTCCTGTGCAACTCGGGTTGAGAACAATTGGCCTAAGTGGTTTAGGTGGGGCCTGGCATACTGTCCTTGGTGTTTACCTGGTATTTATTTCTACTATGCAAGATTTAATCTAATCATCATGAAGGGTCAAGAAGGATGATTATTAGGGTAGGGGTGAGGTCTAAGAAGGGAAACCAGGAGGTGGTGGTCTGCTAAGAATGGGCCAGTAGATCAGATTTTAGGGTATAGAACACAGGGCTAGATGGGGTAGTGGTTACTGTGGCTTGAGATGAAGTGGAGGGATGCTCCAGAGGGTTGGAAAGCAATCATGGTTTGGGTAGAAGATCCGCATGGGGCAGACCCACAGCTGATAACAGGGACCAGGGGTTGGCGATTACAGGACAAGAGCAGCGCAGCATTCCCCTCTCCCCGTCACTCAGACCGCTTCTCACACCCTCGCTTAGGCGCCTGAATGACGAGTCAGCATCTAGCCAAAGAAGGTTGAACTCTTACTTTACAGAGCCACTGATTTTCAACTCTGTAAGTCCACAAATTGTAATACATTTTGGGACATTCTATTTTGTGTATAGAACAGAATTTTCTGAGATTTTCAGCTAAGATCATCAGTTACTAAAATAAGAATTGGAATTCTTTTCTTCTATGTTCCAAATTCCTTCACATGTCCTTATCCCTTCCCATGCCCCTGGCTAGCAGACATGCCTTTGTTAAAAGAGCACTGGAGGTCTTATACTTGGCCAGCCCCTTTCTTCCTAATCTCTTCATAATGTACTAGTTCTGGAGAAAACAAAGAGAAGTAAAGAGTCATGACACTGATTACTCTTTCTCTCCTCTTCAACCTTCTGCAATGATAGCTCAGCTAGCAAATAAGGAGCTAAGCCCAAGGGTCTTGCTCTTGTGAGTAAGCAGAAGATGATGTACCAAGGAGTGGTGAAAACGGGCTTTGCTATGAGAGTTCCAGAGGACACTCCACTTGTGGCAATTTGTAGGGACAAAGTTTTTCCCCCAGTTGACCACCTGCAGTGCTCAGAACCAAGGGTATTGGGTGTAAACTTGTTTGTCGCAATACAATCACCCTGTTCTGGGTCATAGGCCTAGAATCTTAGGTCAGCCTGTTCTGAGTTCACCCAGTGAATCTTTCCAGATTAAACTTTTAAAAGTTTAGAAACTTTCTTGACTCCCCTCAGCCTAAACTGTTCAGTCTCGACTTCTGAGGCTGGCATTTAAGCATCTCTGGTTTGACTGCAGACTTCTCTCCCTTTATGTGTTTCACGCTATATAGCCAAAGCCATTATTTGCTGTTTTCCAACCTTGCACCTGGCTTATATTGCTCCCTCTGCCCTCAGGCTTGTCCTTGCCATCATCAGATTCCAGATACAAGCTAAGGTTCAAAGTCCACATAGTAGGTGTAGTAGTGGTAGTAATTGCTAACATTGATGGAGTGTTAATTACATGCCTGGCCCTGTGCTAAGTACTTCACAAATTATCCACCCTGTTGAGTTATACATTATTTTCTTATTATAGAGGAGGAATCTTAAAAAGAATTAAGGAACTTGTTCAAAGTCTTAGAAGTCTCAAGTGCAGTAGAAACTGGATTTGAAGTCACCCCATTTGGCTCACATCTTCCGCCATAACTCCTGAGCTCTGTTAGCCTCTTCGATGAACGCTTTTCCTTCTTCAGCTTTGAGGGGCCCCACTTTCTCTGTGCTGTCTTAGCACTCTCCGGTACCTTTCCATTAGTGTTTGATGAGTTCTCCTTTTAATCGAAGTTATTTATGTGCTTACCTTACTCCATTAGAGTGGTGGAGAGCAGGATTCATTGCCTGTTCATGTTTGTATCCCCCACAGTGCCTTGCACATGGAGATTTTCTAAAGAAACTTTATTTTGAAAAAACTTTCAGACATATAGAAAACTTGCAAGGAGAATGCAGCTACCATATACCATTCACTTAGATCCATCAGTTTTTAAATTTTTCCATATTTGCTTTCCCTGTAGGATACTCATTAACTTTTTTAGCTGAACCATCTGAAGGGAAATTGTAGATATCGTGACCCTTCAACATGTTCCTCCGAAGAACAAGGACATGGTCTTAAATAACTACATTACAGTGATAGGATTCAGGAAGTTTAACACGGATAGAATACTGTGTTCTGATATATAGTCCATACTGAAGTTTTGCCACTCGTCCCACTGCTGTTTCTTTGTAGCATTTTTTTTTTTTTTTTTTTTTTTTTTTTTGCTCCAGGGCCATGTGCTGTATCTACTTGCCACGTCTCTTTAGTCTCCTTTAATCCAGAGATTCTACTTTGTCTTTCAAAGAGTGCAGATCAGTTGTAGTAATGGAATTACTAACCCACAGTTGGGTTTGTCTGATGCTTCCTCTGGATTAGAATCCCATTACACACTTTGGGGCAGGATATTACATAAACTGAAGTTTTGCACATGACAGTCAGGCAGCACATGGTGTCATTTTACGCCATTTTTTGGTGGCATTAACCTTGACCACTTGGATAAAGTGGTCTTCTAGCTTTTTCCAGTGTACATGGGGATATAATAAGCTTCGAAATTGGTCACCGTCTAATTTGGAAGGACCAGAGAGAGCATGAGACCAGTGATTAAACTGCAATTTCCAGAGCGGCCAGGGAGGGTATTGCAGGTATAGGGCATGCATGGTGGAGGAGGCAGTGCAAAGGGGCAGGAGGAGTGAAGGGGGTACCTGGCACCCCTTCCACCCAGAGTGCCTCTGCTTTGGTGGCGTCTGTTTTATTTGGTAAAAGGGTTCCACTGCTGAAAGGAACAATAAGCAAAACTCTATTAACTAGTCCAACTTACTGGTATTTCTTATCAGATTTCGAGAGCCATGTGGACTTTCTTACGGAGGCTCAGCTAGCTCATGGTAGTGCCCAAATAGAGTCCGGGGTCATGAGTCCCAGGCCATGGCTTTCCATTACTGCTTAACCTTTAGAGTCAAGGACTCCTTTCAGAATCTGAGGAAATAACCACAATGATAATTTTGCATCCAATTTAAGAGAGTCCTGAGAAGTCCCCGAAGCTAATCTATGGACCGCTGCTTGCCATAGTAATACTTCTGTTTGAATTTTGTCAGCTTTACCATTTGCCTTTTGTGGGTGGTTTTTGAAAAGGTGTTGGTGGTTTAAAACAACGGGTGGCCTGTTCATGTTAAGCCGTTTCCCTTGTCGGCTGATGGCGGTTTGCCAGTGGGTAAGGGAACACATTGCTCAGTCTCATCCTGCCTGCATGTTGAAGACAGTCTCTCTTGGCAGGCTGCAAGATGAACAACGTTAATGTGGTATATACGCCGTGGTCTAACCTGAAGAAAACAGCTGACATGGATGTGGGGCAGATAGGCTTTCACAGGCAGAAGGATGTAAGTGTTTTGTACCACTGAAGGAGGTGGAGCCCTGATACTGAATGGAGTAACCTGTCTTTTCCGTCTGACACCATTGTTGTTGAGGGCTGAGCATGACGTATGTTTTCTAAAGGGAATTAAACTGGGTTGCTAAACTCCTGGAAAGCCTTACCCCTCTGGGAGAAAAAACCAAAAAGATGCAATATTTTTTTCTCCTATCTCCTTTAAAGGTAAAAATTGTAACAGTGGAAAAGAAAGTCAATGAGATCCTGAACCGATTAGAAAAGACCAAAGTGGAGCGGTTCCCAGACCTAGCAGCAGAGAAAGAATGCAGAGATCGTGAAGAGAGGAACGAGAAAAAAGCCCAGATTCAGGAAATGAAAAGGAGAGAAAAAGAAGAAATGAAGAAAAAGAGGGAAATGGATGAACTTAGGTATGTCGGAGCTGTGGTATTGAGCTTGACTTCAAAGATGATTCCCTGATGATTTTAATCATGTATCAGCCATTAAGAATGATGTAGTGGTGGAAGGAGGGACATATAACTAGCTCAGAATCTTAAACTGGTTTAAAAAAAAAGGCATTTATATTAATGTGTTGGTTAAAAGAATTGCTCGTTTATGGGGGCAGGATATGAAAGTGGATGAAATAAAATAACTAATTTTATTTGTAAACCTTCGTTAAGTTATCTTTAGCTTGGTTTGCTTTGTAATTTTCTCCTCGAAAGGAAAAGATGCCATGGGAGGTGTTTACAATTGACTAGCTGTACTATTTAAATAAAGTTGTGTTGGCTCTAAAAACTAATGCTAGTAACTCTCAAAGCTGTTTTTGTTTGTTTGTTTTGTTTTTGTTATTGTTTTTTTGAGACAGAGTCTCGCTCTGCCACCCAGGCTGTAGTGTAATGGCATGATCTTGGCTCACTGCAACCTCCGCCTCCCAGTTCAAACAATTCTCCTGCCTCAGCCTCCCAAGTAGCTGAGATTACAAGTGTTTGCCACCATGCCAGGCTAATTTTTTATATTCTTAGTAGAGACAGGGTTTCATTATGTTGGCCAGCCTGGTCTCAAACTCCTGATCTCAGGTGATCCACCTGCCCTGGCCTCCTAAAGTGCTGGGATTACAGATGTGAGCCACTGCGCCTGGCCTCAAAGCTATTTTTAACACTTTCTACATTTTGAAAGTCTAAAGTAATATAGCGAGGCCTGCTTTAAAGCACTACATTTTTAAACAGCTAAATAGTTCAAATACAATTCGGCTCCTGAAATTCTAGTGAAGAAGGACATGAGAATAATGATTATGTTGGTTTTCTATTTCCATTGAAACAAATTGCCACAAATTTAGTAGCATAAAACAACACAGATTTGTTGTCTTCTGCTTCTGAAGATTGTCCAGCAAGGTTCTCACTAGGCTAAAATCAAAGTGTCTGGATGTACGAGGGGAGAATCTTTCCTTTCAGCTTTGAGAAGCACCCACATTTCTTGGCTCCTCCTCCAAAGCTCTCCATAGTCACAGCTCCCTCTCTGATCACTGCCTTCTCTGCTTCTAAGGAACAGTGTGATTAGATTTGGCTCATCCAGGTAATTCATGATAATTTTTCCATCTTAAGGTCCTCAACTAATGACATCTGCAAAGTCTACTTTGCCATGTAACATATTTATAGGTTCTAGAGACTGAATGCAGACGTTCTCCCATATCGCGTTGTACCCGAAGAGCCCCTAGTTGTTCTAATTAAAGCAAATCAATCCTGCAAATTTTCATCACAGAACTCCTACATTTTTCCATGATTTTTCATTTGCAGTACATATACCGAAAAGAAAAAAGGGTTACTGATAACATAGATTGCCTTTGGAAATGGTGTAGAATCAGAAACAAGTTGCTTAGACATGTCCTACCCAGTTTTCTGGGAATGCCCTGGATTCTTAGAAAGACTACTGGGTCAAAATGCAGGTGTAATGATCATGTACTGTTATTCATTATTCACATGTATGTGTTTCTGGTTGGGGTTCTGCTAAAACAGGCTTAGTAGCCTCATTTAAAATACAGTGTTCAAATGGAGAACTTCAGAAATGTTACGCCGAGTTGTAATCTGCTAACATGAGGCCAACTAACATATATGTTTAAATATCTGATACGGCCTACAAGTGTGAGTCTGATTTGTGTTTCAAGTGAAAGAAACAGTATTAACTCCATCAGTGTGGTAAAGTTTATGGCATTCTGGGTGATGCAAGATTTAGAGCAGTTAATTCTTTTTGAGTTTGGAGTGGGGGGAAATTGAAAACATGCCTTTTAGTAGCCTTTACAGATCCAACATAATTTTGTTTAAGAACATGATGGAACATCATAATAGGAATGTAAGATCACCGAATTTACTTATAACATTTAATAAGGAAGAATCGCCTACCCTTCTGAACATTTTCCAGCTGCCAAACACTGCACTGCAAAGTGCTTTACTTCCTTCTCTCATTTAATTCCAGCAATAGCCAAGGCAGGTTTTTATCTGCGTCCTATAGAAGAGGAAACTGAGCCTGAGAAGCAGTCAGAAATTTGCCACAAGCCCACGTAACTACTTAGTCTCAGTCTGATTCTCAAACCTACACACATTACTTACTCTATTCTTCTGCCCTTTATTCACTTTATTCAATTTTAAAGTAAATTTTATTCAATATAAATCAGTCAAGTAATTTATAGATGTCATAATTCCAATTAAACTGCACGCTACTAAAATTTAGGACATTACTATGATTTTATGAATTTCAAACATTGCAAGCCTTTAAACAAAATGTGTCAACCAAAACACACTTTTTGTATCTTCTGGGCATTTTTCTATAGTGTCACCAACATATAAAATACTCCTATTAACTGAAGGGAAAACTCAATCTTATTGAATAAGATTTTTGCTTCAAAAGTTTATCTCATCAGTCCTACTTTCTAAGTTGTCACTAGTCATATGTATTTTTTAATAATCTCCACGGATCTCAGAAAACCAAAAACAATTGCTGTGCTTATTTCCATTAACCATGTGCCACACAGACAACTTTCTGTCACATGCTGTGGAGGATAGAAGATCGTGGCACAGGGCTGCAGTGCTGGGAACCGGACTTGGTGACGTTGCAAAGATTTGCGTGGCACATCCAGAGCTACTGTTTGCCTGCTGTGTTCTGCAGCTTTTGTGAAACTTCAGCAATAGGCTCTAAGCTTCTGACTTGTTTTGTAATCAGTTTTTATACATTTTGCAGTGCTAGCATCACTTCCATTTCTGTCTTTGAATCTTCCACCCAAGATGTAGAAATCTATGCCTATTACCTGACTTATTTTAATTTTGCATTTTTTATTTGGCTCTTTGTATTACCATACCAAATATTTATTACATCAAAATTAAGTCAACCCATGTAGATGTCGAAACCAGAAGAAATAAGCAGTAGTCAGGGAAACATCATTAATAGTGAATGGGTGAGTAACAGATGAGAGGTTGAGGCAGTCAAAACAAAGAGTAAGGACTATGGCTGCCTGAGAGGGCTGTTTAAAAGTTGAGATGGGGCTGGGCAAAGTGGTTCATGCCTATAATTCCAGCACTTTGGGAGGCTGAGGCAGGAGGATTATGTGAGCCCAGGAGTTTGAGATCAGCCTGGGCAACAAAATTAGACTCTGTTTCTATAAAAAATAAGTAATTAGCCAGGCATGGTGGTGCAAGCCTATAGCCCCAGCTACTCTAGAGGCTGAGGTGGGAGGATTGCTTGAGCCTGGTTGGCCCGGGCTGCAGTGAGCTCACTGCATGCCAACCTGAGTGACAGAGCTAGATCCTGTCTCATAAAATAAAAAGTTATGACAGAGACTGGGAGATCAGAATTAGAACTCAAAGCTCAGGTAACTGAAATGAGAGACGTACAAGACACAGGTGAAATGGTAAGTCACGGCTAAATGCATCTTCAGTTTGAATATTGACATGAACTTGATTTTCAGGCAAAGATTACTTCAGTGTGGAGGATAATGTGGATAGATTTTAGCTCATAACTGACAAAGCAGGAATCCAAACTGAAGTCTAATTCTGAAGCCGAGAGTCTACAACGTGCTTCCTTTGAAGCAAGGAATGAACAGACTGGCAAGGCCGGGGTTGAGGGCACACATATGCAAGTGAAAGAATGAAAAATTAGGAATACTGTAGAGTGACTTAAAAGGTTTCCTTCTGTCCAGGATTCATGTCGTAAGTGATAAAGAGCCTTTATATATTTTGTGGAAAATTGGGAAAAAGTAGACTTACAGGTTGAATGAAGTCACTTTGCTGATCTGATTGTTAAAGGAACCAGAGTGGGTGTGTCTGGGTCAGTTAGGAGGAAATAGTGAGACCATTAACTAATCAAATGGATGACAGTCTCATGAAGAACTGACTTCTTTGTACCTTTTTTTGTTTATCTTATACACACTGCCACTGCCTTCTACTATAATTAACGCTGTGTGTGCTGTGCCTCCTTGTCTTACCTCTGAGCTCCTGTCTGGGAAGCACTCATGGATCTTTGCCTCCCCTTAGAGGGGACAGAGTCCTTTGTCTATGCGGTGAATGACTAGTCATACATCATGAAGCTAGTGAGATTAGCTTCCCTGGTATTAGCTTTCCTTTTTTGTTTCAATTTTAAAGTAATTTATATTCAATATAAATCAAGTAACTTATAGATGTCATAATTCATATGAAACTGTATGCTACTAAAATGTAGGGCATTAGTGTGACTTTATGGGTTTCAGAAATTGCAAGTATCCAAACAAAACTTAAAAACCAAATCATAGTTTTTATATCTTCTGGGCTTTCTTCCATAGTGTCCTCAACATACAAAATATTCATATTAACTGAGGGGAAATAATTCTCAATCTCACTGAATAAAATTTTTGCTTCAAAAGTTTAATTAGTCCCCCTTTCTAAGCTGTCACTAATCACTTGCATTTTTTAAATAATCTCCATGGATTCAGAAAACCAAAAACAACTGCTATGTCTGTTTCTGTTAAACACATGCCAAACATATCCCAGGCTGGAGTGCTGGGGTGCCATCATAGCTCACTGCAGCCTCCGACTCCTGGGCTCAAGCGATCCTCCCACCTCAGCCTCCCGAGTAGCTGGGACTACAGGCTCACACTACCATGCCCAGCTAATATCTTTATTTTTTTGTAGAGATGGGGTCTTGCTATGTTGCTCAGGCTGGTCTCAAACTCCTGAGCTCAAGTGATCCTCCTGCCTCAGCCTCCCCAAGTGCTGGGATAAAGTCATGAGCTACAACACTTGGCCCCTGATATGGTAGTCTTGAAGCCAAGATCAAAACTCTGATAGCTAAAGAGTTGGAAGCAGTGCTCTAAGCAGAGGGAACTATGTATGCAGAGACCTTGTATGGGTCCAGCAAGGCAAAATGCAGGACTAAGGTTGCAAGTGTCTGGAGCAGCAGGGGTGAGAGGGCACTTGGATCAAGGGGCCAGTCTATGTGGACCCTTGCTGGCCATGTTTGCCCTCATCCTAAGAGTACAGTGAAGCCATCAGAAGGTCTTAATCAAGGGTTAATACAATGAAGCTTGTGTTTTGGGAAGGTCACTTTGCTGACCTCATAAGGGAACCAGACTGCATGTGGCTAGGTCAGTTAAGAGCATTCCACATCACAGATGATGGTAGCTTAGACTATGGTGGTGACTTGGGATGGAGAGAAGAGGATCCATGAGAGAATTTTATGTAAAATGTTAGGATCGGGTGATAGTTTGGATTGAGGTGAAGGGCAGGGGAAAGGGGGCTAAGAATGACTTCAAGGTTTCCAGTGGAAATGGAATGGACAGTGATGCCATTCTTTGAGCTGGGGAATACTGGAAAAGAACCAAACTGGTTTAGTAGGGAAGACCATGAGCTGGAGATGACCCTAAGAGCCTGAAAATACCCTTGAGATCTCAAAAACATGTCAGGGAGTTAGTCGGACTAATGGAAATGTAGCGCACAGGAAACTAAAGAAAGGTAAATTTGTGGTTTTTTTGTTTCTTTGGTTTTTTTTTTTTTTTTTTTGCTTTGTGACTGTCTCGCTTTGTCACCCAGGCTGGAGTGCAGTGGCATGATTTCAGTGCACTGCAACCTCCACCTCCCGGGTTCAAGCGATTCTCTTGCCTTAGCCTCCCAGGTAGCTGAAAGTACAGGCATGCACCACCAAGCCTGGCTAATTTTTGCATGTTTAGTAGAGACAGGGTTTCACCATGTTGGCCTGGCTGGCCTCAAACTCCTGACCTCAAGCGTTCCACCTGCCTTGGCCTCCCAAAATGCTGGGATTACAGGTGTGAGCCACTGCGCCTGGCACAAGAAAGGTAAATTTGTGCATCACTGTCACACGGATGGGAATTCTGACCCAGTGGCTCTTCAGTCTGGGAAGACAGATCCCTACAACTGGGCCTATGGATCCATTAAATTCTTCACAGGTGATTTTCAGATGCCGTGAGAATTGGCATTCTGTGCTCTAACCACTTGTGTTTCACAACATGTCTTTCTCCCTGCTCATGCAACCTGTTCATCTTGTCTGTTTTTTATTTTTTGTGTTTTTAATTCCTTGTAGATACCGCTTACTCTTAAAAGCTTCAGCTGGTCTCTTCCTTTGGGTGTTTCCCAACTCATTATCTTTGACTGTGGCATTTCTCCTGCCCACTGGTCTTCAGGTTTCAGTTTCTACAGTTCATATTTACTTGGGTGTCTCACGATGACTTCAGATGCAGAATGTCTCAAACCAGGCGCATCTTCTTTGCAACATTTTTTCATTTCTCCTATTTTTTTTCAAATCACTGAAGCTACAAACGTTGATGTCATTGTTGTTTCTCCTCTGTTTTATTCCTTCTTACCATTACAGCTGTTAACTCCAGAGATTCATGCTCTCAGATTGGGGTACTGCAGTAAGCTGTGGCCTGATAAGAGTGTGAGCTTAGGAGTCAGACCTCCTTCAAAACCTGGCATCTCTTCTTATCTCTAAGACCTTGGACAATTTACTTAACCACCCTGACTCTGCTTTCTATTTTCTACAATGGTCTTAAAATGCTCCTTGACCTATTAGGTGATTGTAGGGATTAGCAGTAATTTATGTAGAAAGCACTTTCTACAGTTCTTAGCAAATAAAGGACACCTAGTAAATGGTAAATACTGTTATTGTGAATGGACCTTCTTGCCTTGACTGCCTCGCTCTCTCTCTACTCTGTTTGCTACACGTTACTCTTTTCAAAACACTGGTATTATGCAGCCTCACTTTTCTTTGTCTCTTTGTATATTTTTTAATAGTATTTTTCCCTGTAGTTATTGATGAATACATCTTATTTCCCCTTCTGGTAAGTTCTGTGGGTCCAGGCTTTGTGTTAGTCATCATTTTCTGTTTTCTTCTCATCTGATCCTTCACCCAGGCTTAGCACAGGGTCTTAGGCATCATGGATATTTAATAAATACCCATTGAACCTTATTATGGCTTTACTCATTGTGTATTCTGGCTTCTTGTTGAACACACTGTGTTCGGTTGTGCAATTAGGACAACATAATTGGGCCCCACATCCAGCCTGATTCCCCACTACTTCACTTTGAGAACCTACCTGAGTTAGCTAGATCTTCAGCAAGTCATTATAGATACCATCTCTGTCTCTTTGCTCATCCCACTCTCTGAATCTGAAATGCCCCCTCATTCATCCTGCCCACTTGACTGGCTTGGTCTGGTTCTGCCTTGTCTGTGAAGGGTGCCCTGACAGTTCCTGCCTACACTGATGTGTTTGCTCCTTTGAATTCCTGTAGCATTTACAGTCTGAGCTGTATACCTCATCTGTGAATCATATCATATCTTGGTTGTAGGTTAATTTCCCCATCTGAAAAGTAGTAATAATGCCACCTGCCTTGCCAAGTTATTGTGGAGGTGATCACGTGAAAGAAGCAGGAGAAAGCACTTTGTAAACTGTAAAGTGCTGTGCATATCTTTCTGATTGTTTATAAATATTTATCCTTTGAATGTTACAATCTCCTTGAGTGCAGAGATTATATCTAGTAGCTCTTGTGTTTCTTCTAAAGCCCATGAGCAGTGCTGGATACACAGGAAATGTTCATCAAATACTTGTTGGCTGGATCACCATAATTTAAATGTCTGTGTGTTTTTTTTCCCTTCTAGGAGCTATTCATCACTAATGAAAGTAGAAAATATGTCTTCAAATCAGGTATGTTCAAGGGGTGTGCATAAAAGTTTGCCTTGAAATAATTCATTAAGGGTTTTTTATAATTGTGTTACTGGCCATTATTGCTTTACATGTTGCAAATAGGTGACCGTGATTTGGTAACCAGGACACCACTCAGGCTGGTTTCTGTTAGGCATTGTGCCTCCTTCCCTGTGGATGTTCTCATGTGTGTTTAAGTAGGCCATCTCAGGGAAAGAGATAGTCAGAGCCTGTGTACTGTGGAGTACAGTCCATTGATTTTATATTTATAGGACTTTATTCTTTATTTCTCCTCTTTTCTGATTGCAGGCATGCAAAAGTGCCTTTATTTATTAGTTTTCTATATCAGTGTGGCTGTAGAGTCCATAGTATAATTGAGAACAAAATTATCACCTTCACTTAAAGTAAAAGTACTTACCCTAAGATCTTACGTGACTAAGTGAAGCCTAAGTGACAAAACTGGTTGTTTTCATGTTCCTTAGGACCTGAGATATAAACAGATGGTGACCTGTAACACAGTACTGAAAGGATCTTCTTAACATCACAGCTAACTATTTGATTGGAATTATGTCAGAGAATCACCGTCCTTGAGGACTGTTCTTCCTAAAATTTGAGTTGTCTAGAGATAGCACAATTTAGCTGCTATTGAATAGTCTGCAGAAAATGGAAACTGGGCAGATATATTTGGGATTTTGCATGTTTCATAGTATAGTTTAAAAATATAGTCACCCCTCAGAAGCTGTGGGGGACTGGTTCCAGGACTCACTAAAGCTACCAAATCCTAGTATGCTTGAGTCCCTTGTGTAAAATGGACTAATGCACATCCCTCCATATACTTCAAGTTCTCTATAGATTACTTATAATACCTACTTAGTGTAAATACTATGTAAATAGTAGTCATACTTTTGTTTTTTTTATTTATATTATTTTTATTGTATTTTTTAAATTGTTTTTTTTCCTCTAAGTATATTTTAGCTGAGGTTGGTTGAATTCACAGATAAGGAAACCAAGGACCAACTGTAACGGAATTTAAGATCCCTTATAAATCATCTAGTCAAGCCCCAGATTTAGTGCATGAATTAGAATTAACGGGATTTTATGTCTTGTTTATATCTATATCACTTTCTAAAAAGCTATAAGAACAACATTCTTATTCCCATCTCTAAACTAAATTTATGAGGCTCCTTTATGAATCAGAGATGTTTCTTTATAATTTTTTCCTGAAAATTTCCAGAATAACATTATTAAATGAAATACAGCTTTGAATTTGAAGTTTAGAGACTTAACTGTTATTTGCTAATCGGAGAAGATTAAAAATCCCTTGGGCAAGGGAGCTTTGTCATAGCAGTTGGGTTAGATCCTAAAAAAAAGTCATTTAACCTCTCTGAGGGAGTAAAATGGAGACATATTACTTCACAGGGCTGCTTCAGGATTTAAGCAGAGACACATCTATGTGAAAGTCTTCCTTGACCTACTCTGTAAATAGTCATATTTTTATACCTTATCCATATAGTCTTTGTTGCTGTTTTTCCAGAGTATCAGTATGAAAAGATGAGATGTGTTTAATCCTTTCTGAAACCTAGTTTTAGATTTCTTGAAACTACTGGAACAATTTAACAGCTAAACAGAAGTCTCTAACATACCACAACTCAGATGTCATTGTTGTGATTATTTTGCTTATTGAAGTTTTCCATATTTTAAAGGCTACTTTGCACCGGAAAGCTAGCCCGCATATTATTTCATGATCTTAGTTGTTTCATTCTCATCATTATTGATTTTTAAAGTTGTATATATTTATAGTTGAGAAATAAATACACACACATATATACATAAATACATACGCAAACACCATCTGACCAGTGACAGATGTTAAAAGTCCCAAGACTAAGAAATTGAATTTGTAGCCCAAAAGATTGTTAACCTTTCTACCCTTCCTCTCCCTCTGTTGCTTGCAACCTCTGTTCCTGAGTTCCAAGTGTGAATAAGGTTCAAGATTCCAAGGAAGTTTTGCACTGGGTGTTTTTATTCTCTCTTTCAGTGAAAATGTTTTTATAGTTTTTCTCCATAGTTTAAAAGAACAGACTAATTATCCTTAGAAACATCTTTTGTTAAGGGATACAGATGTTTGTATTTTGTTTTTGTTTTCCATAAGTTATTGGGGTACAGGTGATATACGTCTACATGAGTAAGTTCTTTAGTGGTGATTTGTGAGATTTTGGTACATCCATCACTAAGCAGTATACACTGAACCATATTTGTAGTCTTTTATCCCTCACCCCTGCCTACTCTTGCCCCTGAGTCCCCAAAGTTCATTGTATCATTATGCCTTTGCATCCTCATAGCTTAACTCCCACATATCAGTGAGAACATACAGTGTTTAGTTTTCCATTCCTGAGTTAATTCACTTAGAATAATAGACTCCAATCTCATCCAGGTCACTGCAAATGCTGTTAATTCATTCCTTTTTATGGTTGCATATTCCATCATATATATATATATATATATATATATATATATATATATGTATGTATATATACACACACACACACACACACACACACACCACAGTTTCTTTATCCACTCGTTGATTGATGGGCATTTGGGTTGATTTCACGATTTTGCTATTGTGAATCGTGCCATTATAAACATGCATGTGCAAGTATCTTTTCTGAATTATGACTTCTCCTCTGGGTAGAAACCCAGTAGTGGGATTGCTGGATCAAACAGTAGTTCTACTGTTAGTTTTTTAAGCAATCTCCACACTGTTTCCCATAGTGGCTGTACTAGTTTACGTTCCCACCAGCAGTGTAGAAGTATAAGGGATACAGATGTTTCGTGATCCAATTTAGAATGTGACCAGTTGTTTTTTCAGTTAAAGGCAAGTGTTTATATAATACAGGACTTAAGTTTTAATTTAGCTTATATAGGTTCATCAAGAAGAATAATTACTGTAATTCCAAAACATAGCCCCAGACAAGGGGGAACTCTGCAAATCTAACCCACAGCCTTTATAGGGAATGACATACTTTCGTTGATAACAACCCAAACTATCTTACTGAGTTGTTCATCTTCAGTGTTTGGGATCTGAAACTGACATTTAAAGATATTAATGACCCTTTCAAACATCGCTACTGCTTTTATTTCAGATTAAGACTCTAGGGTGATCATCGTCTTGGCACCTGGATGATCGCCCTACAGTCTGCTCTTTGTGTAGTTGTTGAAGGCATTTTTACTGTGGCTTCAGTTCATTGTGCTAATGGAAGAGACGCACAGAGAAAACCACTAAGTGAAGCTGGAGCTAAAACCAGACTTCACAGGAACCAATGCTTTCTACCAGTATCGTATTTCTCTACCATCTTTAGTAAGGGCTATTTAGATAGGCCTTAGTCTGATACCTTTGTCTAACAACGCTCGTGTCAAGCAATGGGAAAGAGAAAGAAGATAAAACAAATGCAGTATTCAGGTTGTGACACTGGCATGCGAATCAGAATGCACACTCTTAGTGAATGTTGGCCAGAAAGGAGTCAGGGCTCTACCTTCCTGCATGGCCTTTAGGACTTGCTCATAAGGCACACGATAAAATCAGTCCTTTTGTGCTGTATACCATCACGCACGTTTTTTAAATTAAAAAATGTGGCAAACCAGCTAACTTGGCAAACTTGCCTATGTTTGACTTCTAATGGCCTTTCCTATTAAAAAAGAAAAAGAGATCAGAGCCATGTTGTGAAGTCACACATCTGTGACAATGTTGATGATTAAATTACTGGCACCTGGACCAGAAATATTTTGCATATTGGCAGAATTGTTGGCATGAGGCTATTGAGGCAGCGTTTGCTTAGTACATTTGTTGAAGGATCTGTCATGTTTTCTTATAGTCACATTTGCTTTGCACTATACTTGGTCAGGTGGGATCTACTTTATTATTTAGAAATCAGTAGTCATTTGTTGCTGTATAATCAGGCCACGTAATGACACCTCACAGATATAGCTGCTAATTCCACTCTCTCAGGAAACTGACCATTTAAGATGGAGAAGTGATGAGTCAATGTAGTTATTTCACTTTCTGAACTCAGCGACTGAGATGAGAAGGCAGCTCGCTAATTAAGATAATTGTAAGTGTTAATGTCGAGTTATTTTCAGGGCTTTGATGGTCTTGTTTTTTTGTTTCCTACAGGATGGCAATGATTCAGATGAATTCATGTAAAAGGAGAAAAGGACCTTTGAAGAAGTGAATGTAGAGACAGTGGCAGACCTTTTGGTTTCATCTGTGTCCTGAAGCATAAAATACTACCAAAATTCCACCTTCATCCTACCCAGAAATTATTGATTGTGGACTTTTAAAAAAATTGTACCTTTTTAGCTGACAGAAAAGGATCAGATATGTATAAATAGTTGAACTCGACAGCATATAACTTAAAGCGAAAATGTTTTTGCCAGGACATGTCTTGGTACCTTGTGAAAGCTAACTGCTCTTATTCTTGAGATAGACTTTCAAATGAACCAACTCTGAGAAGTACTTCTGTTGCTGTGGTCCATCCCTGAAAACAGATGTCTTGAAACACTTTTCATATTCTTAAAATAATCTTCACTTCTGTTAAGAAGAACATGTTGGTGGGTAATTATGCGAACGTCTCCGTGTCCCTGACTTCTTGATTAGAAAAAAGGGCATCTGGGTTTTGAAAAGGAGATTTTCAGAAGATTGTTGGCTTCAGTATTCACATTGCATCGTGTCAGCTGGGACTGTTAGCTTAGTGACCCTCAGCTCAGTCTGTCCTGGCTTTTACGTCCTTGCTTCCTCTGAGCAGGGGCCTCCCTCTTAGTCTCATCATATTTAAAGAAACTGATGCTGTTCATCCAGGTGGGGCCTGTGGCAGTTATTGCCTGAGCACCAAGTAAGCCAAGCCACCTATGCGACAGCTTCTGGACGCAGGAGTAATTTCTCTGCACTGGGGTAAAACAGGAAGGAGTGCTCTGTTGATCCTTTGGGAGATGTAGGTTACCTGATGTGTGCCTTGGGATGCAGCATGAAGCAGAAATCCGTATTGCAATTGTGATTTTAGAAGGAACTAAGCATTTCACTAGCCAACCAAGTAATTATTTTGTTTACCCGGAAATCATATTTGAGTTGTAACCCCAGAGTTCAATTTCTCATTGTAGATTCAGCAACTTACTATGTAGCATTACTTCTCACTTGAACCACTCACTATCTGTTGTGATTCTAAGCAGAAGACATCTTTTGATTACAGTACGTAAGGCAACCCCTGTAGAATGAGACAAAACCGGGAGAAAGAGAACAAAGCCTTTAGGACCAGAGGCATACACGTGGACGTTTTACTCACCCCACAGCAGCAAGAATGACCAGCAGGTATTCCACCTGTAGTAGCACTTTGGAACTGTGGGCAAAACCGAAAGGCTAGTGTCCCCATTTGTTCCACACTGGTGTATGGGGTTGAACTGGAAAATTCCCTGAGGCGTAATTCATTGGCCAAATTTTGAGAGGGTATAGAAGATGAGTGGTTTTGGGTATGTGTTTAATGATATTCAGCTTGACGTTCTGCAATTTTAAAAGTTATAATAAACTATCTTTTTTTTTTTTTAATCTGGAAGGACAGTGATAAATGAATTCTTAGAATTTGCTATAAAAAGAGTAGCCCCCATCTACAAGCTGGTTTTGAAGGAGATCTTGCTGTAAACCTCATTCATCATAGGCACAGTCTGACGGGTTCTGTTGGGGGCTATCATCTTTCTCCTCCTCTGCTAAATGCCTCATTTCTTCCAGATGCTGACTGGGTCAAAGGGATGCCCTTTCTCAGACATATTCTTGATTGACTGTGAATTTGTAGCTGTGCTCCTTCCGTGCTTCCAAGGAGTCCGGCTGCTACAGAACTCCTCGGTACCCCACATTGCAACACATGTAGATAGCACTTTTGAAGAGTACATAAATTTTTACTGCAGTATGAGAGGTCCCAGGGCTCACATTTTAAACATTTCCTAACTCCCAGCTTACGCTGGTTTAAAATGTTCAGGTCTGTCTGCTGAATTCTCTAGATGAATTCATAGCTCTCCAACCTCCTCTGTGCTGATTCCCACGCCCCCAACCCCCAGCCTCTGTGTTTTATTTTTTCCCCATCTCTGTTGGTCCCAGGGAAAGCAAGGATGTTTTCTTTGGAGGACATAATAGGTTCACTGCCCACAGGTCAAATTGTTGGCATTGAACTCCTCTCATTTCTTGCTATTGGATTGTTTCCTAAACGTTGGATAGGAGAATTAGATATTGTTGCTATTTTTATGAGCTGTGTCCTTGATCAAATCTCTGCTGTGGGTCTGAGTCACTATGCTAACACCGTCTTCAGTTTCAACACTGATCGGCATGCAGGCGAGGGTCACGTTTAATTTACTTCACTAACTGCTGTATTATATTCTAATAGCTTTAGACTTCACATTTCTTATCCTCCTTTGTCTAGACTTGGGATCTTTGGGCAAGAGAGCTTTGTCATAGTGGTTGGGCTGGAACAAATGTTGAGAAGTTGATCAGAAAGCATTGAGATTAGCAGAATAGGTGATGGACATTAAGAACCCAGTGTCCATGTGTTTTGTTGTACTGTCTTTAACTCGTTCTTGAAGCATAGATTTCAGTGAGCCTTTCAGCTGTTCAGTGCCAGCAGTTTTCCCCTACTCAGGAAAGATGGTGTGAGCCGTATACCCAGCAGGATGGGACAGGGAGAGTTTTAGCTGCAGCTTCTAGTTTAAGAGCAAAGCCCTTCCTCTCAGCGTTGCATGTGTCTGAGAGGGGAAGCTCTTGTTTTCCAAGCTGGAACCGTTTATGGGGAAAACTGAGCAGGGTGGCAAAATGGAAAAGGAACAATTTTCTAGTTTTTCCTGACCCATGATATTGAGGCCTGCTTTGTCTTTCATTTGCAGTACAGCATGTGAATAACAATTTCTGTATTCAAAATGATCGTATTAGAGTGACTGCGTGACCTTTGATTTTAAAGCAGACTAAAACCGGACCAGACAACAATGAAAATATAAAATTAGAAACTTAAATTCCAAGCTGAATTTCAGCTGTGACTCACCTAACTCCAGTGAATAGGTGGCAGCTCAGAAACAAGGATGGTACTGCTGCTGCGGGAGCGAGCTCACATCCAGCTGGCACTTCGTGAGAGCTCTTTCCTGCCAACCACGTGTGAGTTCTGCGTGGGCAAGACTTGTATGTGTGCTCTGTCATTTTGAAAGGGAAATGATGCCAATCCCAGACGCAGCATGTCCTGAATGATCTGTAAAATATAATAAAAGCTTATAGTTTGAGTAGAACTCTATGTGTGTGAGAGAGAGATTTCACTTTTTACTTTTCTCCTGCAAATCTCAGTCTACTGATGGGATGTGCCTGCTTATTTTAGGCAAGTTGGGCACAGCTTACATCCCCATGTGATGATGCCGTTCACGCAGTCATAGCAGGAGCAAATCATAGTAAAGGGAAGGTCGCTCAAGAATTCCAGGAAGGGGCTGGAAAAAGCCAGAGCTGAAAGTCCATGATAGTTGAACACTAGCATTGGGAGTTTATAACTTGACCCTCTGCTCTCCCAGAATTCCTGGGAGTCTGCCTGAAATTTTGGCCAAGGCGAGCCTGCAAATGTGAAGACTTCCTGATGGTTTCATGGATGAATGTACGACTATGGATTTTGTTGTGTTTTGATAGATTCTCTTTTTTAGGACAGAACTTCCACTAATGTGGGAATGCTGGCAGGGAGGTCTTAGGGTTAAGGGAGCCACACAAACATGTAAGTTTTTCTCCCAGCTATAAAAGCATATTTGAATTCTTAAATGTTTATTAGAGCACAATTGGGTTACATTTTTAGTCAGGGCAATACCTGCATCCTTTGATTTTAACTCCTTTAGCTACTAGAGTTCTGGGGTTTAAATATTTAAGTAAATTAGTCTATATGGGGAATGTAGTTTGAAACCGTAATTTTTATACAGAAAATTTTAGAGATGTGTGTATATACTAGATGGCTTAGCAGTGCAATGAAGATACAAATACCTCCCTAATGCTGTCTTTTAACCTGGGTTTATCGTTAGATTACACATACCTCTTTTTCTGTCTTACATTGATTGCTTAGTTTTGTCTGATTTCATTATTGTGTCAATTATTGGAGGGACTGTAAGCTTTCTACCTTAGTGGTGTGACTATAGGTCTACTCTGTAGCCAGATGAAAAAAAGAAATGGGTCTCTGCCCTTGGCATATGCTGTGTGGCACCAACCTGGCATTTTCTGCGTTTCTTAATAGCCAAGGAATGGTGGCCAGAGGAAATGGATTGGTCACTCTAGAAATCCGTGCAGCTTCTCTAGTTCTCAAGCCTGGTGAGTGGGTGTCAATATTTAAAGCTGAAAAAGAATTCTCCAAAGTCAATGTTGTGTTTTGTTCCATCAATCCCATCCTGTAACCACTGCATTGAAAATATAAGACTAACAGCTTGACATTTCACATCCTGCCTGGATGAGGCCTTAGCTGCTTGGGCTCCTGCTGGTGTTTTGGTTTCTGCACTAGCAGTTTCCTTTCCATAGAGAAGGCTAATATTTGCTTATGATTTCAGAAGGGAACTTGGATCTTTCAGGTGGTAAAGGCTGATCTGTCAGACTTGAAGCGTTTTGACCCTTGATGAAGACACAGTGCAGGGTCAACAGATGAAAACCACAGTCTGAAAAAGAGAAAATATTCGGGGCATCGTGCAGTGCCGGGAACCAGCCCAGCCTTGCCAGAATCGCCTTCTACTGTGAAGCCCTGATCTTCATGTAACATCCCTTCCAAACTCTGAAGTTTGTATTTTATTTTATGTACTCTGCATCAGTGAGGCTTACATAACATTTCAAAACTAGAATTGCTTTTAGAAGAGTCTTTGGAAAAGGCTGAAAGGTCTGAAATAGACAAAGGTTACCAAAAAACCTTTTTTTTTTTTTCTTTTTTTGAGATGGAGTCTTGCTGTGTCGCCCAGGCTGGAATGCAATGGTGAGATCTTGGCTCACTGCAACCTCTGCCTTCCAGGCCATTCTCCTGCCTCAGCTTCCCAAGTAGCTGGGACTACAGGCCCATGCCAACATGACTGGCTAATTTTTGTGTTTTTAGTAGAGACAGGGTTTCACCATGTTGGCCAGGCTGGTCTCGAACTCATAACCTCAGGTGATCCACCTACCTGCCTCAGCCTCCCAAAGTGCTGGGATTACAGGTGTGAGCCACTGCACCCAGCCCCAAAAAAGCCTTTACTGGTGCCTATGATTAGAAAATGTTTTGTGTTTTCAACAAGAAGGGGGCAGGGGGCTCAGGGCCCTTTTCTGCCAAGGTAGACTGTTACCTGCCATGTTTAAAACCAGCCATTGGACTGAAGCTCTCACTCTAGTGGGTTACACAGCCAGTGCCACAGTCTGAGATGAACTCTGAATGATCTAGCCCAGTGGAGGAAGGGCACAACCCACCACTAGAGGGGTAAGACTGGGCTACATGTTTTAACAAAAAGCATAGGAAGTCTACGTAGCAATGGGACAGCATTCTTGACAACCCAGTAGTGCCTACAGATCACCAGAAGAGGGGGGCCTAATCTCCCAGTATAAACAAAAAAGACACAGAAAGCTTCCCTAGTAACCTGAAGGAGTTCCTAGAAACCCAGTAGCACCTCCACAGGCAGACAAGTGACCTCATCAAGCAGCTCCCTGACACCGCAGCCAGGTAAATCCACAAAAATGGGGAAAAAAACAGTGCCAAAAAGATGAAACCATCAAAGACCAGAACACCTCTTCTCCTTCAAGGGATCGCAACTCCTCAACAACACAGGATCACAACTTGACCAAGGAGTGTGACGAATTGACAGAAACAGACTTCAGAAGGTGGATAATAACAAACTTTCAGAGCTAAAGAAACACGTTCTAACTCAATGCAAAGAAACCAAAAACCTTGAAAAAAGGTTAGACAAAATGCTAACTAGAATAACGAGCTTAGAGAAGAACATAAACCACTTGATGAAGTTGAAAAACAAAGCACAAGAACACGTGAGGCAAACACAAGTTTTAATAGCCGAATCGATCAACCAGAAAAAAGGATATCAGAGATTGAAGATCAACTCGATGAAATTAAAAGAGAAGGCAAGACAAGAGAAAAAAGAGTGAAAAGAAATGAACAAAGCCTCCAAGAAATATGGGATTATGTGAAAAGACCTAATCTACGCTTGATCGGTGTACCTGAATATGATGGGGAGAATGAATCCAAGCTGGAAAACACGCTCCAGGATATTATCCAGGAGAACGTCCCAAGCCTAGCAAGGCAGTCCGAATTTCAAATTCAGGAAATACAGAGAACTCCACAAAGTTATTCCTCAAGAAGAGCAACCCCAAGGCACATAATTGTGAGATTCACCAGGGTTGAAATGAAGGAAAAAATGCTAAGGGCAGCTGGAGAGAAAAGGCCAGGTTACCCACAAAAGGAAGCCTATCAGACTCACAGCAGATCTCTCAGCAGAGACCCTACAAGCCAGAATAGAGTGGGGGGCCAATATTCAACATCCTTAAAGAAAAGATCTTTCAACTCAGAATCTCATATCCAGCCAAACTAAGATTTGTAAGTGAAGGAGAAATAAAATCCTTCACAGACAAGCAACTATTGAGAGCTTTAGTCTCCACAAGACCTGCCTTACAAGAGCTCCTGAAATAAACACTTAGCACAGAAAGCAAACCAGTTGGCAAAGACCAAAAATGCAATGAAGAAAATGAATCAACTGACAGGAAAGAAAACCAGCCAGTAACAAAATGGCAAGATCAACTTCACACATAACAATATTAACATTGAATGTAAATGATCTAAACACCCCAATCAAAAGACACAGACTGGCAAACTGGATAAAAAGTCAGAACGCATCAGTGTGCTGAATTCAGGAAACCCATCTCACATACAAAGACACATATAGCCTCAAAATAAAGGGACGGAAAAAGATTTACCAAGCAAATGGAGAACAAACAAACAAAAAAAGCAGGGTTGCAATCCTAGTCTCTGATAAAATGGACTTCAACAAAAATCAAAAGAGAAAAAGAAGGACACTACATAATGGTAAAGGGATCAATCCAACAGGAAGAGCTAACGATCCTAAATATATACGCCCCCAACACAGGAGCACCCAGATACATAAAGCAAGTTCTTAATGACCTAAAACAATATTTAGACTCCCACACAATAATAGTGGGAGACTTCAACACTCCACTGTCATTGATATTAGATCAATGAGATAGAAAATTAACAAGAATATCCAGGAATTGAACTCAGACCTGGGCCAAGCAAACCTAATGGACATTTACAGAACTCTCCACCCCAAATCCACAGAATATACATTCTTTTCAGCACCACATCACACCCACTCTACAACTGACCACATAATTGGAAGTAAATCACTCCTCAGCAAATGCAAAAGAACAGAAATCACAACAAACAGTCTCTCAGACTACAGCGCAAACAAGTTAGAACTCAGAATTCAGAAACTAACTCAGAACCGCACAGCTTCATGGAAACTGAACAACTGGCTCTTGAATGTTGACTGGATAAACAATGAAATGAAGGCAGAAATAAAGATGTTCTCCGAAACCAATGAGAATGAAGACACAACATACCAGAATCTCTGGGACACATTTAAAGCAGTGTCTAGAGAAAAACATATAGCAATAAATGCCCACATGAGAAGCAAGGAAACATTGAAAATTGACACCCTATCATCAAAATTGAAAGAGCTAGAGGAGCAAGATCAAAAAAACTCAAAACCTAGCAGAAGACAAGAAATAACTAAGATCAGAGCAGAACTGAAGGAGATAGAGACACACAAAAAAAAACCCTTCAAAAAAATTAATAAATCCAGGAGCTGGTTTTTCAAAAAGATCAACAAAATAGGCAGACCACTAGCCAGATTAATAAAAAAGAAAAGAGAGAAGAATCAAACGGATGCAATAAAAAAACAGTAAAGGGGATATCATCACAGATTCCACAGAAATACAAACCATCATTAGAAATTATTACAAACAACTCTATGCACATAACTTAGTAAACCTGGAAGAAACGGATAAATTCCTGGACACTTGCATCCTCCCAAACCTAAACCAGGAAGAAGTTGAAACCCTGAATAGACCAATAACAAGGGCTGAAGTTGAGGCAGCAATCAACAGCCTACCAACCAAAAAAAGCCCAGGTCCAGATGGGTTCACAGCCAAATTCTCCCAGACATACAATGAGGAGCTGGTACTATTCCTTCTGAAATGATTCCAAACAAACCAAAAAGAGAGATTC